TTAATTAAAAAAAAAGGAGAGAATTCATACTAGCAGTGTAAAGCTTAAGAAACAGCGAAGCTGGTTGATCTTAGGGGCTTAACGCGGTCTCCTTAGCTGATGCTAGGTCTTTTCTTGGTATAGACAAGAAGTCGAACCACAGCCTGTCGCACACGATGCAAGAATGTCCGACCTCCAGTGCCAGAACTAACGTGCAAAGCTGTCTGCAGCACCCCTGGTAGAGCGCACGTCTTACGTCACTCATACTTGGCTCGCGCAGCTGGGAAACTCGGCATGGCAGCTGCGCAGACTGTCTCCATCGATAGACAAGGCTGATAAGCAATGGCACGGAGGGTTTCTTGCAGAAATTGAACAGGCCTCAGGCATTGATGCTTAGACTTTGGCAGGTTGGGGCTTATCCCAGTCCCAAGATCTAGCCAGATATTCAAACATCAAACACTTGTGTGCTTTGCTCAGACTTTGCCAGCTTAGATTACAAGCTCTGGTGGTGCCCTGCTTTACGGGTGGATGAAGAAGTTACATCGTCCAGGACAGGATGCTGTGCTATGTAGTCCGGATTTGATGACACCAGCTATGGGCAGTCCAACAAGCCCATGACCTAGTGCAAAGACTAGTTCTATCAGTCCCGACATAGGAGCGGTCCGCTTTGTGCTAGCTCACGCACGGTCGGACCTAAATAATGTTTTGCCATAATATACCACACCCAACGTTTTAGCTCAAGCTCCAAGAGCTTCGCTCCTTAAAGAAATCGTTTCACACCCTTCCTCATCCCCTCTTTTTTACGCTGTCCCATACGAGTTAAAGTGCACCTAAATCGAAGCACATGGCTCTTAGAAGCATAGGCTATTGGATGAATTGGTAAATCATGATGAAAAAACAGTATGCAAATACATGGCACAAGACAAAGAGAACTACAAGACAAGCGCATTTCATGGGTCTTTAGAATTTCATCTTGGAAGTACATCTACACGTGTCTCATGAATTATGCTATATTACACATCGGTGTATATGTCGAAGTAAGGACACGAAACATAGAAGGATGCTTACCTCTTTCCACCAATGGCCTCCTTTCCAGCGAACGCCACTCTTCTTGCAGTAGTTGGGAAGCCAAGGTGCTTTCAATTGCCTAGCAATCTGCTCTGATATTGACCTTGAAATCAGAGCTGCTGTTCCTGGGTTGCACAAAATATGAACCAGGATAAGCAAGTCAGCTGTTATACCCCTGGAATCAAACTTTTTTTAAAACACATCTGATGCGATAAAAATTTCCGTCAGTCTGTTTGTGATGTAGCCCGCTACAAGCTAAGAATCTTGGAACAGGCCTTTCACACAAAAAGTTGCAGAGTCCCTTCACTTGCTTTGCATTTCCTCATGACATAGCTTCCTTATGTATATAACACCGGCACAAAGTTGATAAACAGCAGCCATGCATCATCAGTCGTTCTGAGATTATTTCATAACACAGCTTTGCTGACATCTGGACTTTCACTCCATGCGAAGCAAATTCAGCATGGACACCTTATGTCCAGCAAGTGTAGCAATTAATGTCACAACTGTATAGACTGTCCATTAGGTTTTTAGAATGAGTGCCAGTGAATGCAAGTGAATGCAAGTAGATAACATTTCAACCTTGATTAATGCACAGTGAATGTGACGGTATGAGCCAGCATGTTGGCGATAATGCCATGGGCCAGCCTGATTGATACAAAAAAAAAAAAAAAACGACATATGGTATGGCTGCTACATAAAAAAAAAAAAAAAGGTGTGGCCTGCCGTGCGTTGAAGTCAACAGCCGAGCACGTCTCAAGTCAGTTGACTGTTGTAGTCGCTATAAATTTTGAGGATGCCTGTTCAGGTACACAAGGCAGACAGCTATTTGTGATAGAATGGGGTTGCCTTTGCGATTTATGCATGTTGGCAGTGTTTATTCATGTGCATTTCAAGTTTACTTTTTTGTGTGATCGTGTGTGTAAGCAGCTTACTTCATATTTCCTGTGCTTCGGTACGGGTCTTGGGTGTGCACGTGTGTGGCAGATGGTTTTTTCTTCCCCGACCCAGAGAGCTTCTGCCAGCTCCCTTCAGAAGAGGCATGGGAGACCCCGATACAATCTCCCGACAAAGGACTGCAAAAAGCTGTTGTTGCATGAGCAGAAGAGATCACCGAAGACAAGCGGACAGCTCATAATCCCTGAACTTTCTTTAAATAAAGTTGTATCCTTCTCCTCCAACAATGCGAGGCTGTGAAGACGGCATTTTTTGGCCTGCACATTCTTTTTTGTGTAAAGTGCGGAAAACGGTGAAACGGTCGGAACCATCGTCATTGCTGCCGCACAACTCAAACGCTACAGTGAAGTATCACAAGTTCCCCTGCAATCTACAGCATAGGGAAGTGTGGCTGAAGAATATTCTCACCAAGGACCGACGCAGTAAGGAAGCAAGTGGGAGCCAACGGACAGGTCGCTGGCATGTTTATTACATTTTACTGAAAATGACTTCAAAGAGAACATGAAGGTTAGGCTTTTGCGACTGATGATGGTTCCGACCGTTTCACCGTTTTCCACACTTTACACAAAAAAGAACGTGCAGGCCAAAAAACGCTGTCGTATGAATCCAGCTCATAACAGACTAGTTGGGGCAGGTGATTGCGGAGGCTCAGCAGAAAGCCTCAAGACTAAAAGTTTATTGCAACCTTTGAACGACGATATCGAAGCGCTCGTTCCACAGCATTGCAGGGCAAGAAAAATATTTTTGGTCCGAACAATAGCTACCCTTCAATTTCTTCAGGAAAGCCCCAAATGTCACCGTGACACAGGCCAACAATCAATTTTACGAAGATGATCACAGAACAGTGTGCCCTTAATGATATCGAGGCAATGAAGGCAGGCAGAGGGCACGAGGAACCATTTTACAAAACAGAAGATGAAAGACTTTTCTGGCTGGAACTAGTATTCGTCAGTTACCTTGAGTTTTATATGCAAGGTGGCTGGTCAATGTAAATGACAAGTGAGACGTGCGAAGCGACACTGCTTGCAGCACAATCAACAGTGGCACAATATCCGGGCCCTTTGGCTACCCTCCCTAGCGCCTGCATCACTCACTGTTTCATCTTGAAGAAAAACGTATATCTACTCAGCATAATTCATAATAACGATTACTTCTTAACATTCCAGGCGAGTCAAGTGGGCATCCTTCATGGAGAGTATTGATGCCCACTTAATATAACATTGGTACACTTAAAGCAAGCTTTTCCCACCTGTGGGGCAATGAGCAATGAGACTTCTAATAATGACTTAAGTATCTAGCCTATAACATGCAACTATTTATCCCATTATTTATGCCCCAATTCGAGTCCCTGATGTGCACAGCAATGCAACCCTATATGCGCTTCTCCATAAACAGCTGTACCCACGCAGAGATGCCACAGCAGGTGTGAGGAGAGCTAGGCTTGAGGTGCCGTTTCAGCGCTACACAACAGGCCAAATTTTTTTTTATGTAGCGTTCGTGACGTAGGTTCCTACGAAAATGGCAATTTTAAGTGATCAGCAGTTAAGAAATAAGGGATTCCTCAAGTGATAGGGCCAACAAGCCTTAACACGTCAACAACTTGGTGAAGACAAGTCCCTTGTCAATACGCTAAAGCTTTCTTGTTTGAGCATTGTGCCAAACTTGACTGCATGTGCACACTAACTCTGCATTTAAAATTGTGAGCATGGGTGATTATGAGTTTGAATGTGAGCGCCAATGAAGTCGAGTAAAGATGGTGTATGATAGTGTATTTAAACATTTTGTGTGCTCTTTCGTCAGAGTAATTTCGCCGGGGGCGCATGCAACCGGCGATGGTCACTCTTTGAAAAACACTTACCAAGTTGTTGGTCTGCAACCTTCTCACTTTCCTTGGGCAGCTTCTCAAATAGGAACATGAATATCCGTCTCATCTCCGCCTCATTCGAATACAGAAAGGTCTGGTAGCCTAGGTCTCCTTTGAATCCTAGCTCCTAGAAATGTGTCGAGCGCAGTGCATCAGTTTCGGTCACAGCAGAAGAATATGGTTTCGGTACTGTTGACATGCCATGAACAAACAAAAATAAAATAAAAAAGAACTACGGTAGCAACTTACAATGCAGGCGTTCGCCAAGGTCATTCCTAAGTTGTAGCGCTCGACCATGTTCGTAGATATGTGCAGGGGAAGCTCTTTTTCTGGCGATATCAAGCGAAGGCAGCGTACAACAGCTTCGACAGTGAGTTCCGTCGTAAACTGCTTGAGTGATACAACGTCCTCATCGAAGTCGCTGAAAAGCGTGAGAGGAGAAAACAGAAAGCGGCCGTTAAACTACAACTGAAAGCACACATGCGCACGGCGACGAGGAGATGTATGACAACGGTTGCCTGAAGAAGAAAACGATCTCCGGCACTTGCCGAAATCATGCGCGCAACTTACCAACCGATCTGGCGCAGTGCGTGGATTATTATCTGGTCCACCTCTTCCATTGTATTTGTTTCGCGGTGCGTTGAAGGCAACAACGGTTCCCACTAGGAGGTAGCAGAGGCACGCCTTCCCGTCACGGGAACTTTTCCGTGCCTCGAGATGCGGTGCGTGGAGATGCTGGCCGTGTCCGGATCACACGGTGGTCCGGATCAAGGCGACTACCGCGCTACGCCCACCAATCCGCAAACCCTGCTCGCTGAACGTAGGAAGTGCAGCTACTCATTGCTGCTAATAGAATCGCTTCACGAAACAATGAGACAAGTAAAACAACGCTAAAATTAAACACTCGATTTAGTTGAATTGTCGCGTATTGTGCGATTCGGCGTATGTGCCGTATCGGCGCTTCGGTCGGCTGGTTTCGTTTGTTTAACAATGGCGAACGTAGTAGCGGCTTGTTTAAATGCCATTTCTCACGCTTCCTTCATGCGTTGATAGTGCGAACCTGCGGAGTCGTACGACCGCTGTAACAAAATATTTTAGCTGAATTTCATCTTTATTCGCATCACTCGCTATCATGGATATAAATCGGCGACGTTACAGAGAAGCGTCGCTTAGGTGAGCTAATTATCTAGCGATGCCTTTGTCTCGTTCATATGCATGCATATCACTATTTATTTCAGGACGTTCGAGCCATTCCTTAAAGAATATGACTCCCTGCTGCGTTATATACTCACCGAAGTACAACACTTTAAGGTAAAGTGGGATCTCGTGTGCGCTGTATTCCAATAGTACTTTTCTTACCTAGCATATTTGCACCCCCCCCCCCCCCCCGCTCGTTCTTTTTTTTTTTCAGAATGAAGTAAAGCAGCTCAAGAAGGAAGCACTCATACTAGTCGATAACAATCGCTGGTAATTATGGCGCTGTGTTTGTGCTTTGGGCTCCCTTATACTGAGCTTATTTCTTTCAGCCTACACCGAGATCTGAGGCGCCAAGTGGAACAAAACTTAGCGTCAGACCCGCCCCATAGCAATCAACTTTTAAGAGACCTTCAATCTCATTTGGACGCAGTTACAGAGGCACGTTTAATTGAATCTCCCTTTCGCCTGTGATGAAATGTTACAGTATGCTTTTAATTTCGCATCTCCAGCCCTATCTCACCCTTTCTTTTCTCTCTCTCTCCTTTTTCATACGGATGATGACTACTTTTGCAGGACAAAAATATCACGTCCAAAATGCTTCAAACAGCGCTACAAGAGATTGAACGCCTCGAAGGTCAGCTAGAGGTATGAAGCAGTTATAAAGTGATTCGGGAATGTCACTGACTGTGAATAACTTCCCATTTTTTTCAGGAAAAAAAATGACTTTGTTGATAGAGATACCCTTAACCAATGTGTAGAAAAAGTAAGTGGGTCAAGCACCTTTATACTGTGCTAAGACATACTTTTATGAACATTGCTGAAAGCTAAGTCATGTGTTTTATCATTTAGGTAAAGACCGACTGTGAAAATAAGTATGTGGAGACGTTCCGCGAGTTGGAAAAAACAAAAAGTGAGCTCTTTGAGGCCCAGAAAAATCTTCACACCACGAAGTTGCGTATGGCACGCTACAGTGAACCAGTTTATGTTATTGAAAACCAGCTTCAGGAAAAGGTAAGCGAAGCTACGTCAAATGTGAACATGCATGCGTCTGACATTCTGTATCAGTCATACTATGTGCATCACTCCTCTATAAGTACACCCTTGCGATTTCTTAATGATCCCTAGTGATTGTTGACCACTGCACATAGTAACGTGCCTAATATAGGCGAGAGGTAACAAAACGTTTTACATGATGTGCAAGTGCAAGGAACTCATTCATGTGTGAGCACCGTCTGCTTAGAGATCCATACACACTATCAGAATTGTCTGCATGATGATATAATTAGGGAGCTGATGCAATGTCAATTATCATATGACTCATCTCATTGCTTCTGCTGATATCAGAAACTACTGTATATTCAAATTGATGCTTGCTAGATATTGAAAAAATTTCAAGAATGTACATGCTGCAACATTCTAAAGATTTAAACCAACAACGTATCTCTTATTAGTGTGTTTCTAGAAATGTTTAGAATGTGCTGGCTTACATTTCATTGAGTGAGGCTTAGCGAGAACAAGTGAATGACGTGTAAAATGGCTTGCAAATTCAGGAAAAAAAACTAGATGAGGTCCTGCAGCACCTGCAACAAACTCAGGAGAAACTAATTTTGGCAGAAGAAGAGCGGACAGAAGCCATTTCAAGGTGCTAATTGACTGCACATTTCTCTTTTTTAGTTCTTTAGCACAATTTTGTGACCTCTATTTTCACAAGTGCAATGATTCCCATGATGCTGTCATTTCAGGCTCGCAGCAGTTGAAGCTCACTTGACTAAGTCCTGCATGGAAAGTGCTAACAACTCACAAGAATTGAAGGCCTATAGGAACCGAAGGTTTGTGTATGCACCTACGTTGCACACCATTAACATTAGCAACTGATAGGTAGCGAGAGTGAACTTTTAGAAGCTATCAGAATAAATAAACATGTACAATACTCATCGATCAAAATGCAACAATTCAGTGCTAAACAGTGTGCATACTTTCCGTTTTATACTTCTCCTGTTCGTGTGATGCGAGTATAATTTTAACTCAAACACTTAAATCTAAAATAGGATTACCTTTGACAACCATACTTGTAGCAACAGCTGTTAGAATAGAAGTTTAGAGGTCACGTTTCGGTTTGTGGGTACAGTACAGATAAGCTATGTGCTGAGTTGTTTCTATTAATTTACAGCAAGGCACTGCAAGAGCAACTCAGCTCTGCACTGGAGCACGCTGAGGAAAGTGTCAACATGACAGAACGAGCACTTCTTGAGAAACAAGAAGCGCAGCTGAGGAGCGATTTGCTGGAAAATGAAGTTATGGAGTTGAGAACTTCGCTCGAAGCTGTGGTGGAGGAAGCTGCTCAGCATACAGCAAATGAGGTGATGAATGCTTACTGTGTAAAACTGGAGGCCTACAAATTCGTTCGCCTTGCCAGCCTGGAACTGTAAGGATTCTTGGTAGTTGCAGTGCTGATGGTAAACCACCGTGTACTTGAAAAATTTGGAGGAAAAAAAAAAATCGCGATCTTCTTCCTCATGCGAACGTGTACATCACTTGATTTCTTCCGAATTTGGCAACAATTCTTGCAGGTGGAAAAGTTTCGCGAGAAAGGAAACCAACGCATAAAGGAACTGATCAAGCAAATTGGACAGCTTCAGCAGGTGCGGGCTAACACTTTCATAGCAAGAGAGAAGTTGCATGGTGAAGATCCAAACAGGTTGTGCATGAAATTTTGCATTCTGAATATCAGTGCAGTGGAAATCTTGGTTCACATGAGCACTGAGGTGATGACATTTCAAGAATTGCATGATGTGAAAGCTAAATTACTGCCACATTTGGTGGAGATCACAGAATACATTCGGTAGACTGTCCCTGATCACTAATTATTCACTCATAACTCATGTTCACTCATAACATGTATAATGTCTTTGCATAAACATGATGCAGTATCATGTTCATGTGTGTGTGTTTGTCTTATGGCTTGAACAAGAACGTCGATATCAGAAAAAGGAGGTTATAATGAACTTACTTTACCCTCTCTAATTTCATGCTTGGCAGAGAACTCTGCCATTAGACAACAAAGTCATACAGAAAAGCCAATCTGTCTGGCAACTAGGCTTGTGCGAGTATTTGAATGCTTGAATATTTGAACGAATCGTTGAGTATGCGAATTCGCTTCGATTCGGATTTAAATTATCGAACATTTTCGAAGTATTCGCAATGAAATAATAAATGTATATTGATCCGCATGTCACCGCCTGTAAAGGTGGTTTCGCTGCAATGTAGGGTTGCTAAGCAGTAAAAAAACCTAGTAAAAAATGTTTTGCAGGGCCCCTTTAAATTTAAAGGGGCCCTGCAACACTTACTGAGCGTGGTCAGAGAACGCTGCCGATCGGGAGTCGAGGCTACCTAGAACACGCGAGGCAAATATTGTAGCGCAGCACGTAGTCTGTAATTCACAATAAACTTTCAAAGCTAAAAATTGCTTTCCTCGGCAAATGACACCAGAAGCTCAGAAATCACTTGCCACAGCCAAGAAAGACTATACGGCTCTAGTCACAGGCACTGGCTGATTTGAGCATGGCGCTCGTCGTTACCGGGGCTGCCGCTTGTCCCCGAGTACGTGCGCGATCGCACTGAAAAGCCGCGTATTTAGAAAAAAAAAAAAGGTGCTCAAGGTCACGAGGTGCGTGGGAAGCATTTTCTTTTGCCGTGCCCTTCCTCCCTGCTTAGCTTCCTGCTATTTCGTTGGGACAAGAAGAGAGAAGGCAATCGCAGCGTGTGACAAATTTTTGGAAATTCGCTCATACTAAACTGATTCTAGAAACTTTTCGGTGGTAAATTTGTGAGGCAACAAGCATGCTTACTGGCTCCATGGCTACTTGAAACAGTGCTGCAGGGCCCCTTTAAAAGAACATTTTACCCTCAAATTAATTCATTTCATTAAGCTTGTTATGACGGCTTATATGATTCAAGTATAATAAATTTTAGAACATTAAGTATCTTACAGGTTATCGCTCACATCCTACGGAAACTACTACTCAAGGTTGTTTCGACTTCCTTTGAACGAAAAAAAAAGGCATTAGCGTAGAGTCCCTATTTAAAATTCAAAAGAAATATTGAGCAGGTTAGTTAGGTCATGATAAATATTCTCTTTATTTTATATGTCATACATACCATTCAAATTCAATTCGAAAATCATTCGATCAGAATCACTATTCGCTTCGGACCACAAGTTCACTATTCGCACAAGCCTACTGGCAACACATAAAATGGGAAAGAGGTGGCACACACGGGTTCTGGCGAAGTCGGCACTGACGACCTACTGTGCGCGCAATAAGATCGACAAGAAGAAACCCCCGTATGACAACTCCAGGGGAGGTGCACTGCTGTTTGAGGCGCGCAGCGGGGTGCTGCGTACACAAGCCCTATGGGCGAAGTACGCGGAAAGCTTGAACACAAAATGCCCGGGGTGTTACTGCACAGAAGAGACCATGCATCACGTCGTGCTTGATATCCCAGGCCTGCACCCCAGTGCGCTTCAAATCAGCTGACGAGTTGTAGAAAACCGACAAAACTCTGCGACTGCGGGCAACGCCCTAGACGAAGCTGAATGCAGACTCTCAATAGTGGTGGGTTTCCGGAAACCCGGACAAGCACCCGTATTGGGAAGCGGTTGCTGCTACGAAAAGGTGTCTGGAGAGATGGTGGCACGCGCCTCGATGGTACAGTGGCAGCCATGACACTGTAGATGCAGACATTTTATTCGCACCGAACAGAGATCTACGTGTCTTTCTTTTTTATTATTATTACTATTGTCGGGTTTTTTAATTGGCCAAGATCCTGAAATACCGTTGACCACCCGCTACGAAGGGAAGGGCCGCAGCAATAATCATCATCGTCATCGGTGAAAAGACATGCACGTTGACTAAGTAAGGATAAAAGATAGGAAAAGTTTCTTTATTATTAAAGAATATTATAAATGAAAAGCTGAAACTGAAAATTGGGTACAGACAGTTAATAGAACGGCAATGCTCTCTTCTCCACATTTCACTGTGGTGCCTTTCCACATGCGGCTACCTTTCATGTCTACCTTCCATATGTTTTTTTATAAATATGACGCCTACACATCCCTGTGTTGCACACTTTAGCATACACTTTGTGCTTAAATTTCTGGTACGTGTCATCACACGCAGTAATGAAATATCTACAGACACGGAGCACTAGTGTTTCTAAACACTACACTAACACTGTGCACAACATATGATAGCACCGAGTATTACATTTAATTAAGGTAAACTTTTACAGGCCTTGCAGCAGCAGCAGTCGCTTGCAGCTCAACTGTCCGAAGAAAACAGCAGACTGAGGGAGGAGGCTGGAACGCTTCAGAAACAGTCAGGTTGACTTGAGGCTGAACAGAGACCCTGCTTTTCTGGCACTTAGCCAGACTCTGATGCAGGCGGAAAGAATGTGCCAGAAACATCGACTCACTGCAGATTCTTTGCAGGACAAATTGTTACACCAAGAAAAACAGTAAGTGGTCAGGCAGGCATGCCTGAAACAGCCGTGCATATAGAAAGGCTGACAGTCGAGGAGAACTAAGCTATGCAGACTTAAGAATAGCAGTGCACGTTCAGAAGATGAGGATGAACACACTCATGCGCAAAATAGACGCTGGACGTTCAGTGCTTGTGTTTTTTCGGTTCATCCTCATTTCCTAAACTTGCATGTCCATCTTATCACAAACAAACTAGCCTGCCAGTACGTCCTGAGCAACTACAGTAGACTCTCTTGAAATGGAACCTGAAAGGACTGGGAATATATGTTCCATTTAACTGGAGTTCTGCTTGCTGGGAGATGAATAGGGTTACAGTATGCAGGGATGAAACCAATCATATGAGAGGCAGTTGTTCCATTTAAGCAACAGTTTTGTTTAACAGATTTCCATTTACTGATAGTCTATTGCATATGGAGCATGCTTTATAAAAAATTTGTATGAAAGTTTACTGCTTGCTGTATCTTACACCACATGTACAGACGTGAGCAAAAGTGTGCAGACCACGGGATCGCTTGGCAGAAGGCATCGACACGCCATCTAGCGACGAGACACTTGCTGTGGTACGCACGCACATCTTGTTGTATCAGTTGGCCTCTCGTGTCACTCTATCTGGCAGGGTTATGACACTCCAAGCGAAACAACTGGGTGTTGCATTCTCTGCTCCATCGACTTTGTGCTGCTCTTTTGCACAGCGGTTGCAACGGGGCCGATTCATGTGCCGGGCTCACGTTATTTACACCAGTTGGTTAGCATAACTAGGCATAGCTGGCATCGCACAACCTGATGAAGCAAAGAACATAAAATTAAGCTTTCTCAGCCGAGCTTGCCTTGTCAAGTTTGTGGGGGTGCTGACACCCCCCCCCCTGTAAAGTTGTCTGCGCCGCGTGGCGCACGTGTCTCGCCCCAAGGCTTTATTTCGGTGGTGACCACCGCCGGGCGATAGATGGCGTTGTGTTCGCTTTGAGTACCACTGTTGGTAGAGTGGTAGTGCCGGCGGTGGCCCCTGGCGGAAGGCGGGCCTTGGTGGTGGCCGAGAGTTGAGCGAGGCTCTTCTGCGCGTGGCGGCTGCCGCGAACGGTTGTCTGTAGCGTGGGTCCCCGGTGCTCGGCACCGCGGGCTTCGCGCCGGGGTCCCACGTGGAAAGTCAGGCGCTTGCGACGCCGCCTTGGGTATGTGTTAGTGTGTGTTTATCATGTTATTGTGTGTTTAGTGTGTCACTGCGTTATGTTGTTTGTATGGTAGCATGTTAATTGAAATTGGTGTATCATTTGGCGGACGATATCGTCGTCTAAATTAGTTAATAAATCTATGTACGTGGTGTGCTTGGTACCGACCGCGTCTGCTGTGTCCGTTCACTCCAAGAGCGTGGCGTGGCGAGGCGCTCGTTCGCCTCGCCGAGACCCCACACTGGCTGCCCAACGTGGAGCTCTTGGAGTATCGGACGACATTTTTTGCGGTTCAGTACAGGGATTTTGTTAGAGCCGGAGTAGAGTAGGCCTAGGGGGGACTTCTTTGCTAGCGTCGGTGGTGTGCTTTGTTGAGAAGCGAGGAGATTGGTTTTGTTACGTGTTTGAATTTGTCGGCAGGTTGACTTTCTATTTTTTTTTGCTCGCAAGTGTTGTTATTTTTTGTTGTTGTTAGTTTTCAAAAACGTTGTTGAATTAGGACGAGAGCCATGCGGTCCGCATCCTGGGGTGAGCAAGGCCTAGAGCACGTGGTTTGTAGGCCAGGCCCGATGCGAGTGAGTACGGAAGCCTCGTGGGTGGTCCGATTTTCTGTAAATAGCTTCCTCTATATCTTTGGGCTCAGGGAGCCGGGCGTCGTTGCTGTCTGGTATTGCGGCTCGACGCCGGGGCGTTGTGACACCGCCCGGGGCGGTGGACGCCGATCGCTCGGTAAGCTGCTGTGTGCGGCGAGCGATAGGGCCACCTCACAGAGTGGACGTCTCCTCGCGGCTGCCTCTTCTGCGCCTAGGCTGGGTGCTGGGTAGATGCCGGTTGTTGCCGAGCGACTCATTAGGCCTAAGGCTCTGCGCAGCCGCCTGTTGCACGTGGCACAACTAGGTGGATAGTGGCGTTGAGGTGTTGCGCTCTGCTTCCCTCACTTTTTTTTTTTGTGAGCACGAGTTAGGAAAAGTGATTTTTGTTTTGTTTTGAAGGGCGTCTCGGCCGCCACCGATGTATTAGCTAGCAGTACTGACCAACGTACCACGTGGACGAAAAGCTCGAAGCTCCCTTCCCGAGGACCTGCTCGATTGTTTTCTTTCAATTTTTTTGTTGTTGTTATTGACGTATTCAGCGGGAGGGACGTCATCCACGGCCGGCTGTCCTGCACATCGTCAGAATCGCTGGCCAGGAATGCGGTCGTGAGGTCGGGCGATGGAGATGCCTGGGACATGCGCAACTGCCTGCAGTCCGGCGCCCTCGCGAGTGCTGGTCGCAACTGGAAGACGTGTCAGCGCTAGCGACGAATCGGCACGCCGACGGCAACGTTGCTGTTGCGGGGCCGGTACTGAGGTGAAGTCTAGCCGGACAGTGCAGCAGTGTCGACCAGCGGCGGTGTCGTGGTGCAAGGACATTATGGTCGTGCGATATCATTTTTTTGTTAAAGCTTGTGTAGCTAATTTTTGATTTCGGGATATGGTTTGATTTAAGGTTGGGGGAATGTGGGGGTGCTGACACCCCACCCCCCCCCCGTAAAGTTGTCTGCGCCGCGTGGCGCACGTGTCTCGCCCCAAGGCTTTATTTCGGTGGTGACCACTGCCGGGCGATAGATGGCGTTGTGTTCGCTTTGAGTACCACTGTTGGTAGAGTGGTAGTGCCGGCGGTGGCCCCTGGCGGAAGGCGGGCTTTGGTGGTGGCCGAGAGTTGAGCGAGGCTCTTCTGCGCGTGGCGGCTGCCGCGAACGGTTGTCTGTAGCGTGGGTCCCCGGTGCACGGCACCGCGGGCTTCGCGCCGGGGTCCCACGTGGAAAGTCAGGCGTTGGCGACGCCGCCTTGGGTATGTGTTAGTGTGTGTTTACCATGTTATTGTGTGTTTAATGTGTCACTGCGTTATATTGTTTGTATGGTAGCGTGTTAATTGAAATTGGTGTATCATTTGGCGGACGATATCATCGTCTAAATTAGTTAATAAATCTATGTACGTGGTGTGCTTTGTACCGACCGCGTCTGCTGTGTCCGTTCACTCCAAGAGTGTGGCGTGGCGAGACGCTCGTTCGCCTCGCCGAGACCCCACAAGTTAAGCCAAGTTAAACTTTAGTGAGCCTAGTTAAATCAATAAAAGTGTAGCCGAAACTAATCAAACCTAGTTCAGCATGGTATCACCTAATAAAGTCAGGCGTAGGTAAATTTAATAAGGTCCAGTCCAGCTTCCTGTTTTCATGTTAAGCTAAGCTTCATTACACCCAGATGGATCGAGATAAGTGCAGCCAAATCTAATTAAGCATGGTTGGTCATGCTATCCCTTAATTTAGCTGAGCAATACTAGCTTAAAAAGACAAACCTTAGCCTGGCGCTTGAGCCGGCCCCATTGCAGCTGCTATGTAAAATATTGGCACAAATTCGATGGAGCAAAGAAAGCGGCACCCAGTTGTCGTTTTGGCTGCGAGCGGCCTAACCGCTTCAGACAAGAGCGACATGAAAGGCCAACTGATACGATTGGACGCGCTTGTGCACTGCAGCAGGTGTCAAGTCGCTAGACAGTCCGTCAATGCCTTCTGCCACGCGATCCCATGGTCTGCACACTTTTGCTCGTGCCTGTACCTACATAAAAAGGTGTGCAGTTGAGCATACTTGCGTTTTATAAAAAGACTGTAGGAAAGGGGGCTTCACCAATCATACTAATATTGCTGTGAATCGACACTTTCTCTTTAGTAGATCGGCATGGCTCACAGCAGTAGATTTAAAACAATACTACTAATATTATTCCTTTTTTAATGTAACAAATGCAATGTTCCCCCACAACTACTGTGGGTAATTTATCATGCCCTCCAGCCATATGGTGGCTTTCACATCCTTATTGCCATAATATCTCAGTCGCTGCTGCTCCTTTATAGTTTTGACTCGGTAATCTCAGCCAATCAATATATCAGGCTGTCATTTCATGCCTCATCACCACCTTACTGCCCAACTGGGTAATTTCGTCAAAATACATGTCTGCAACCGTCTCGGGTGTCACTGCTTAGTCAAGCTTTCATTCACGCAGAAGCGCCTTCAAGATAAAGCAGAGGGAGCTGGAGATCCAACGACTCCAGAATTTATTACAGGAGGCCGAGAAACACGCCGACCAACTGCAGCGATCGATGGTTGAAGCTGAGCACCAAACGGCAGAGCTTCGCCGAAAAGCGCACACACTAGAAGCGGAGTGTATCGCTCTACGAAAGAGACACCCTGCCGAGGTCGGTCACAATTTTGTTAAACGAACACTAAAAAGAAACAATGAGTTGTTTTAGATTGATAAACTGCACTCTGAGAACTCTAATGTCGTAATGTCGTAAAATTGAAACTGAAAATGCCGAATTGAAGGCAGCCAACAGCTCCCTCACGGATGAATGCGCGCTTCTAAGAAACAAAGTGACTGAGAATGAACTTAGGATCACTCAACTAGAACAGTACTCTAGAAATAGGAACATTGAGATTAAGGGTGTTCCCATGACACAAAACGAAAACCTGAAAAGCGTACTTGCAGCTATTGGAAATTCAGTAAATGAACCTGTTTCCGAAAGTGACATTGAGGCTTGCCACCGTGTACCAACACGGGACGCTTCACGACAAAATATTGTAGTGCAGTTTCATAGCCGCTCAAAACGAAATGCCTTGCTTGAAAAAACACGACAGAAACGTTTGACCACGGCCGACATCGGACACCAGGAACGCCATCCTATCTTCATAAACGAGCACCTGTGTCCCGCATTGAAAGTGCTTCTCGGAAAAACAATTTGCAAGAAAAACGACAAAAACTGGCGTTTCTGCTGGACGAAAGAGGGCAAAATCTTTGCAAGGAAAATGAGTCGTCACGTGTCCTACGCGTCACGAAGCTCAGCGACCTTGATAAGATAGAGTAAGTCGAGTACGTACATACCGTTTCCGATATGAAATATGGAAAACCGAGTTTTGTCGGTCTCGGAAATTTGCAGGTTGTCACAAAACAAATATTCATTTTCTGCACTGCATATTAACACCCAGTCTGCTAGAAATAAAGAGGAAGAAATACAATGTTTGTTATCGCGCATGGATTTTCAGTTCGAGATCGTGATGTTTACCGAGACATGGTATCGCGATGCTACAGAAGTGATCAAAATTCCAGGATATACTTCTTTCTTCGTAAACCGCAGCTTTAAAAAAGGAGGCGGGGTCATGATGTTAGTGAAAAATGGCATGAATTGTGTTATTGTGGAAGAATTTTCAAGAGCCACTGCTGATTTTGAGGTTCTCACTGTCAAAAATGGTGCTAAAGTGTACAGCGTTATGTACCGTCCACCTCATGCGAGTATGTCAAATTTCTTCACATTTTTAGATAGTTACCTTAGTTATTTTAATGATGATGCCAGCACTGTCATTCTAGGAGGTGACATAAACATAGACTGCTTGCAACAATCAACAAGTCATGATGAACTTTCTAGGATCTTGGACGCGAACAGTTATATTAATGCAATCAGTCTACCTACACGAATACAACCAACTTCTTCGACACTACTAGACGTCTTTATTACAAATATTTCACCCGAGCATCTTAGTTCTGGCGTCATCAGTTCTTCTGTGAGCGACCACCTACCCATTTATCTACTATCGGCGCAAACAAAACCCTCCACTGCGTCACGACACCCGTCCACTAAATCTTACAGACAGATAAACTCTTTCACGCTGAAAAACTTTCGCTCTCATTTGCGTGTAACAGATTGGGGCAAAGTATTAGAAGTTGATGAACCCGAGACAGCGTACAATGAGTTCATAAATGTTTTTAAGGCAGCGTATGAACAATGTTTTCCACGTAAATTAGCGAAACGAGCTCGGAAAGCCCGTAAGCCATGGGTCACCGGGGAACACCTCAAGAGCATGAAAGAAAAAGACAAACTGTATCAGATCTTTATGAAAACAAGAGCTTTAACAGATTTACACGCTTTTAAGCGCTTCAGGAACCAACTGAACAAACAGCTCCGAGAAGCGAAACAAATTTACTTAAGCAATCTTTTCACCCCAGAAGTCCTTAAAAAGCCACACCTTATGTGGAAACGATTGAACACTGTGCTACACGGTGACCCCCAAGAACAATCCACTTTATCAATTAATAGTAACGGCGAAGAATTAACGAATGCACGCTTGGCGAATTCCTTCAACGACTTTTTCACATCACTTGTGAATAGTAAGCACGATCCGAATTGCATTCAATATTTAACAGCACCGATACAGAAAAGCGCATTCTTGTGTCCGACTACTGTGCATGAAATTATAACATCTGTTTTGTCACTAAAAAACAGTATGTGTACGGATGTTCATGACTTCCAAATCAGACCTATAAAATTTGTAATCGATATTATCGCACCAATTCTGGAACATGTTATTAACCTCATGTTTTCTGTTGGCACATTTCCCAAACAACTACAGATGTCAAAGGTAACTGTAATATTCAAGGGTGGTGACATCAACAATTTCTCCAATTACAGGCCAATTTCAATTATTCCAGTCTTTTCTAAATGCATTGAGAAATTGATATATAAACGCATGTCCAGTTTTTCAACGAAGCATAGCATTATTACGCCTTGCCAGTTTGGCTTCCGGAAGGGATGCTCCACTGAGATGGCTCTATTGCGCCAAAAGGAGCTTATCTTACAATCTTTCGAAGATCATCTCTGTACACTAGGCATATTCATTGACTACTCAAAAGCATTTGACTCAATTAACCACGATTCCTTGTTTGAGAAACTGCAGCATTATGGCTTTAGAGGCACTTTCTTAAAACTTATAATTTCTTACTTTAAACATCGCCACCAGCAAGTCACTATTAATGGTTTTGTATCCGAATTCAAACCAATTAAGGCTGGTGTACCTCAGGGTAGCATTTTGGGCCCATTGCTCTTTAATTTATATGTGAATGATATAGTAAATATTTGTGCTAATACTAAATTTATCATTTACGCAGATGATACAAGTGTTTTTATTACAGGACGTGACCCTTCAAACCTCATTGAAAAAGGCAACGTCGTCCTAAATAAAATTCACACTTGGAGTATCGCCAACTCTTTGAACCTAAACGCGGCTAAAACGAAAGCTGTTATATTTCGGCCTCAAAACAAAACACTGGGCATCACAAACAGTCTAAAGTTAGGTACATCAACTATAGAATTATCACGCGTTGCTAAAAGCCTGGGAGTCATTTTTGAAGAGCATATGACGTGGACAGATCAAGTGAATGCCACCTTAAATAAACTTTCAAAAACTGTAGGTATATTGTCAAAGTTTCGTTACGTCCTGCCTCAAAACATAAAATTGTTAATTTATAAATCACTATTTTTGTCTAACTTATCTTATTGTCACTTAGTCTGGGGCACGACCACCAAAACCAACGTTCAGAAATTACACAAACTTCAAAAGAAAGCCATTCGTAACATCGTTAGTGCCGCATACGATGCCCACACGGAACCGATTTTCAAGGCTCTGCACTTATTCCCAGTACATGAGCTATATCACACAATTTTAAACAATCGCTATAAGTCGGCTATAAAAATAACGACACATTTTTCACAGAATTGTCGGCGCTAACTCGCGCTGAACATGTGCGAATTTTGAGGACTCGTGAAGTCTGGAGATTACCAAGACCACGAACCAATTACGCAACACAGATGTTGAAATATCAGCTACCGCTACTACTTAACATATCCGAAAAACATAAGTAACACTTCCGCGTACTCAATTCGCATGTGTATGATGATAAAATGTACCTGTGAATCTCTCTCTCCCCCTTCATTTTGAACGAGTGCATCTCTGTATACTGTACCAGTGCCTTTTTTTTTTTTTTTTTTTTTTTTTTTTTTTTCTTTATTGTGTACATTTTTCAGTTCCACTAGCTCGCTTATGTTGTTGCAATGAAGATAACTGTTATGTGCCCGTTTTTGCCTTTGTACGCCACGATTGTACGCCACTCTGTACGCCACGTTTGCCAAGCCCGGGGGTACGGACCCTGTCAAGCCTCATCTATGGCTTTTTGTCCGTACCCACCAAGCTCCACTGAATGTCTTTGAAGCTGAAATAAATCATGATTGATTGATTGATTGATTAAGTTTCACTGCCAAAAGTTCATTATTAGCGGAGAGAAGCAAGGTTGAAGTTTCATATTTGAATTTCACGCCGTGATCTCTGCACATGACTTAAGAAGTTCCACAATCTATTTTTCATACTTTTGCGACATTGGCTCGATGAAATTTTCTGAAACTTCGTATGCTAAGTCTATGGCACCCACTGATGACAATGTACTTCAATTTTATCAATTATAAAGTACGTAGGGCCCAGTAGACGCCTCAAAATTTATGACATCTCAACGTCTGGTGCGGGAATCTAATGGTGTCGTCTCCACCTGCAGTTTCTTTTCGCGCGGTTTCTTGCTCACCAAGTGTCGTGCCGCAGTAAGAGTAATGTTTTTCCAAGATTGTGAAATTGTACTTTACTAATACACGAAAAGCATTTTGCTCTTTGTCCCTTTAAGTACGAGTTGTTTGCTGTGCATCATGACCTCACCTTACGTGCAGGTGACCACCCTAACCGAGGCACTCGATCAGGAGAAAATAGTCTACAGCATGAAGTTGCAACAGATGCAAGATACTTTTGAAAAAAAACTAATGAATGCACAGGCACTGCTACAAGCCCAGCAGGCTGTGAATGACAAGTATGCTTTCCAAACTTTGCTGACTTTTTTACTACTAATAAATACAGACATGTGAGAATAGTTGACAACTTTGAACATTTGAATGATTTCAGTATTTGAATTTGCTTCGAAACAAACTTAAATTATTTTGAATTTTGAAGTATTCGAGATGAACAAATAACCCCCCTGTGTAGGTAATTTCACTGCAGCAAAGGGGCGCTATGCCGCGAGTACAGCTACCCAATGGATATCCGCACTGCCGCAAAGCACAATTTCCCGGCTAAATAAACATTATTACATATTACCCTCATTGAAATTCATAGTTATTATTTAGTTTAAAAACTTGTTATACTGGCTTATATGCTCTATGTATGGTAAATTTTTGAACTATATATTAAAGTTTGTCACTTGCATTCTACCAAAGTAAAATCCTGCTACAGTTCGAAGTAGCTTCCACTTCCCTTTGAACCTAAATGAATGATATTTGCACTTGCCTTGTTTTAATTTTAAAAACTAATGTGCAGGTTATCTGGGCTATGACAAAGGTGTTCATTTCTTTAAAATGCGATACATAATATTCAAAATGGTTCAACTGAATCTCTATTCGCTTCAAACCTAAAATTTACTATTTGCACATGCTTAATAAATACCCATTAATTAATATATCGCATGAAATTTGGGTCCTGGAAGCACATGTAGCCTATATCGCTGTCTTTTAGATCAGCTCGGTGCACTGGCTGTCGAAGTGCACAGCACAAAGAGATATCAGAAGCATGCATTGCTAGCCGAGCTCTTTGGAGTGTATTTCGTGCTTTGCATTGCATACTAGAGCTTAAAAAGTAATTTAACAAAACTGAATGGTAATTTTTATGCTGTTTACAGGAGCACTGCACTGTTTAGCTACCTGCAAGTTGACTTTTGCACAAGACTGCGAAATGAAGGATAACAGCTGCACACACCTGTAAGCACCAGCACATGCATGTGTCTAGTTAGTTCGCACATTTTAAATAAGGAGCATTTTATAGTTGCACCTACTTGGAAACTTGGTGTCGAAAGTATCGTTGACACCCCCACTGCACATGCTCACGTCACGTGCCTCCTCAATAAAGCTCTTTCATCCATCCATCCATACCCAACCCATACTCAATTATGCAACATTAATGCAATACCCCCACAACTATGCGACGTATTTACTCGAGTTCTCCCCGTGGGAAGGTGCAGGCGGCTTTTTGTTTCAACATATCCTACCTTGCTCTTCTAAACAGGTGGAAAACAGAGGCATCTAGGATGGCATCAGAATTCGAAACAGAATTGCTTGCTGCCAGAAAAAAAATATCTGCGCTAAAGAAGGCAAACATGGACTGGGAAAAGAAAGCTTACCACACGGCAAAGGAAATTCAAAAGGTGTGTCAAGCCAAATTTCAATATTTCCTTTGAACAAATAGCCAACCTACAAGTGGGAATCAAAGTGCAGTGGATCACAACTTCACGGTTATCAATGTTTATTTTCAGTGCATGTTTTTTGGCACACATGTCAATTAGTAAAACACCTTGTATTGTAAGCATAGCTACTACTATTAACTCATTTTTTTTTTTCTATCAAAAACTTTTCACGGATAAAAGAAAAGGACACAGGGCCCATCAAGAAAGACATGGAAGTCAAGTAAAGCAAAGTGAAACAGTAAGTAGTGATCTTTATATTTGCCATAAGTTTCAGATCACTCAAACAGCTGACTACATTACACATGCAAAGGAAAAAAAAACACATCCCCTACTACGAGGATGAACTACTTCAAGTTGGATTTGTAGTGTACTGACATCACGTGGGGTACTTTAAGTTGTACCCATATCAGATTGAGATTCAATTTCCAGATAGCTGTGAGTCAACCCATCTCGCAGTTTGCACAACAGCTAATCAAGATCAAGAAAATCTTATTCATTTACACTCAGTGGCAATTGAGTAAAATGCCCAATCGTGCCACTCCTTTTGTTAGAGTGTTTTCTTAACCTTGAGTTTTCCACCCTTGCTGCCTGTGATGTCTCATATTTTGAGGTAATTTGTTGAGGACCGAGATACACTTGACCCTCTTAAGAGAGAGTCATGCACTGAGGAGCGATTCTCGTCTTTTTTTTATATGGGCAGTCTCTTATAATCAGGGCACCACGTATGCGTTTTATATTTTTATGCAGGCACACTGGTGTCTCTTATATCATTTGACTCTTACATCGGGGTCTTGATTGATTGATAGATTTGTGGGGTTTAACATCCCAAAATCACCATATGATTATGAGAGACACCGTAGTGGAGGGCTCTGGAAATTTCAACCACCTGGGGTTCTTTAATGTGCGTCCAAATCTAAGCACACGGGCCTACAACATTTCCGCCTCCATTGGAAATGCAGCCGCCGCAGCCGGGATTCGATCCCGCGACCTGCGGGTCAGCAGCCGAGTACCTTAGCCACTAGACCACCGCGGCGGGGCTACATTGGGGTCTTTTATAAAGAGTTCAACTGAATGTGTATTTAGAAATAAAAAGTATTGATGGAAAATAACAGATAATGCCAATGAAACCTATAGTAGGTGTTCTTTGTAGCGATTATGATATAAATGTGAGCAAGGTGAAGGGGGCAAAAAGATTATGCTTGTGGGAATAGTGGACTTGAGGTTCGAAGCAAATAACAATTTTGGTAGAATAATTTTGATCGAATAGTGTATATCACATATCATAAAGATTAAATGGACGTATTTTCCATGACCTAACCTGCATAATATTTTTAAACGTTCAAACAAGGCCTGTGCAAATGCCATTTTTTCGGTTTATAGCAAGCAGAAAAAACTTTGAATATAGTAGTAGGATTTGACTTTCGGTAGAATGCGAGTGATAACCTCCAAGAAATATGCTACGTTTTAAAATTTACTACACTTAGAGCATATAAGTCCCTACAACAAGCTTTTAATGTTAACACATGAACATCAATGTGGGTATTATGTTCATTTAACAAAAGTGTGGCATTCTGTCAGTGCGGATTTTTTTTAAGTAAATGGTTTTACAACTTAGCACCCCTTCACTGCAAAAAAACCACATTTACAGGGAATCCCATGCGGATTAAGTTATTTAAATAAATGCTTTCACGACATGGCGCCCCTTCATTGTAATGAAACAACCTTTAAAGACATGCGGACTAATATATACCTGTTCGTTCATTTTGCATACTTCGAAATTTTCAATCATTTGAATTCAAATTGAAGGGAATTTTAATACTGTAACATTCATTCGAATATTTGCACAAGCCTTGCCACCAGCAGCAGCTTGCCACCAGAAGAGACTGAACTTAAAAGGTGCCCATTTTACTTCACATTTATATCATAATATTTACTACAAGTAACATCCCCTATACACCAGAACACAGCGAGCTCAGTGCTTGCTGCCATATTGAAAAGGGCGCGGCGCCATCTATTGCAAGCGCGGCAAAGCAACATTCTCAACTGCCACGCGAGCAGACGCTCTGCAAATCAAACGTGAAACTTCACAACCCGAGTGCAGCTGTAATCATGTTGCGCGCTATTCCTGTGCTGTAATTTTATGCTGACTTCGTGTGAAACGTCGAGGAGACCTTTCTCGACAGTCCGGAATGTCTGCAGTACGTGCATAGCAGACTGCGGAAGCAACTTCATCAGGTACGTATTATCCAACTGAAAGAAATGCGAAAAACGTTGACTGCAGCGTGCCTTGGCTGGGACAAGGCAGAATTTGTTCTGTAGCCGGCGTCGACGTAGCGCTAGAATCTGGCTCTAACTTACGCTCATGCACCGCATGTGTATCAATTGCCAGTCCTGCCGGACAGTCGGAACACACACGCGGTGCGAAAGTGCCAGCCATAACAAGATTATAAAAAGCACATTTATATTCGCCTAGTGACAGTCAAGGCACTTCGCAGTTCGGCCGAGTCGAAGGACATGCTTTCCGCGCCGTGCACATCTCTTTCAATCGTGATAGTAGGCCGTTACAGTTGTACTAAACATGCGCAGCGCGTGCATCCACGCGTGAGCCGTAATACGTATATCCTATTATTGACATGTGGCCTGCGAAAGAGTATGGCAATAGTTTTGTGCCGCACACTACAGGCCTATTGCACACAAATTGCTGCTGTAAAGTGGAACAGCTGGAGTTGCGCTTGACTAAACGCAATAAGTATATTTACTCGTACACTTCACCGGGCTCGTAGTTTTTCCTACTGATTGTGATTATATCCTATAGGGCAGCCGATCTCAGCGTTTTCCGTTGTGGACGAAAATCTGTGCAATAGCAAAACACCGCACCGGCACGATTCCCGCGATGCGCTGTGAACTTCACAGGCAGTGCTCAGCCATTTCTTCCTCTTGCGCTGGCTGTTGTCTCATCAGATGACAGCGCAGTGGTACCCAGATGACATTTTATAAGCGGGCGCAGCATGAACAGGCACTTTTTTGCAGTTTAAACTACCAAAGCCACTGCATGCCATGCTAGCGAGGTGCGCCTTGGGAGTTCCAAACAAATTATGGAGTCTCTGGGAGCAAGGGTATACCGCCAAAGGCGCCTGGGTGCAAGATAGATGTGCTTTCGTCTACACTTTTCTTGGCATTATTGTCTCTTCTCATTAATATCGTGTCTTAAAGAAAACAAGCCCTTAATGCCACCTCCTTCCATTATCGATAAAAAGCAGCATTTAATTCTAAAGAAACCAAACATCTAACAAAGCAAGTTCTGACCATAGATCGGCGAACTCATTCACAAGTCGACTCACTCAGACTTCATATGTGAGGTTTAACATTCCAAAACCACCACATGATTATGAGAGACGCCGTAGTGGAGGGCTCCGGGAATTTCGACCACCTAGAGTTCTTTAACGTGCACCCAGATCTGAGCACACGAGGCCTACAACATTTCCATCAGAAATGCAGCCGCTACAGCCGGGATTCGATCCTGCGACCTGCGGGTCAGCAGTGGAGTACCTTAGCCACTAGACCACTGCGGCGGGGCGAACTTACTCAGACTCGGAGCGAGTTCATTAGAACAAAATCTTCGCTGAGTGTGTCAGTGATTTAGGCCAAACGAAACTTCGGTATGTATCGGGGTAAGTCCTAAGGGCAAGAAACATTCCTTGAGCGAGTCTGAGCTATTTTTTTTTTCCACCCTATGGCCCTATTTACTCATTTTCAACTTTACTATCATCCTTACCTGGATTCATGTTTTTACTCACACCCATTTCAAAGCAGTGTCGTTCATACAGCATTCCAATATTTATTGATCATAGGCGCAAATTAAGTCGAAGGGATGATTACTCCCCGCCCCCTTTGACAATTTCTCCAGGGATAGTTCTTAATAAATGTACCTTATGTTGCCATTTCTTTCAAGAAAGTGACCTTACTAGTTTGCGAGCACCCGCAACCTGTATTTGAAGGTAATGCATCCAGAGGCACAAACAAGAGCACGAATTACTGAATATATTGACCTTAAAGAGCATTGACATAATGGTAAAACAAGCTAACTACAGGTGAATGGACTCACTCGGACTCTGATCAAGCCGCGGGTCTGGGTTCGGTAAGTAATGTTTAGGTGAGTGCGAGTCCGAGCGAGTTCAGCTCAGGAATATTTTGGCGAGTCGCTCCACAAGTTTTGCCAACCTATGGTTCTGGAAATGTTTGTTTTGCACAGAAGAGGTCAAGGTACACAAAAACACAAATTCATGACATTGTCACTTTTGCAACTTCCCGCAGGTGCTGCAAGAACGTCACACCCTATCTGCATAGCGGCGGACTACAATAAGAGTGAGGCTTGTTCCTGGAAAACTGCCTTTTTCAAATGGCAGATTTATTCCTTCACACTAATGGCTGTGCGCTCCACGTGGCACTCCATGGCAGCTGTGCAGTGTCTCTCCCCAACTGAGCTGGTCTCTTAATCCTCAAGGAAGAAGAAGTTGCCACTCTTCTTTTGTTCTGTGTCCTGTAATAACGGCAAGGGGTGTCAGCAGAGCGGTGACTCCATACTGAGAAATTAAAAGAGCAATGTTTGCTTTGACCTGAGACTACTTTCATTGCCTGCACCACATAGCTGGCAAATATTGAATTTCAGACAGCTTTGAATAGCTTCTATAAGAAATTGTCTGAAATTTTTAAAAGTTATATGCACCGGTGGTTCCACATTAGATTAAATCAAATATGTACTACTGATTTGAACCCACAGAAAAGCACTGCCTATGAAAACAGAGTGGCACAAGGCAATCATCCTGGAAAAAATGAAAACAGAGTGGCACAAGGCAATCATCCTGGAAAAAAAAAAAAAGAGCACTTGTGGCAATGCAAAGCACTTTGCCAGAAAGCTGAATGCGAGCGTGACACAGATGTTCTGAATATTAGCACTTGCACAACGATTTATATTCACATTTCAAGTTCTCTTGCTTAGGGTTATACAGAATATAAAACTGACAGATAGAACAACAAAAATTCTCACCTAACTGATGCACATACTTTAGCTTTTAAGGACCCCTGACAGCGAGAGTTTTGTTTGTGAAATTTTTTTACAGTAAATTGTAGCTTTGAGAATTGAATTGTAATTGCTATAATGCATTATAATGTTTTGAATTAATGTTAGCATCATTCATTCAGAATGATTTTGCATGACTTAGAAATGCCCACCTAAATAACATAAGAAACTAGTGCCCCCACAGCGGGGCTGCACCTGAGACCACATGTGCTCATGCTTCGGTGGTGCTGAACGCACTGTTTTCAAATAGGGGTACCTGCAGGTAGTGAAGAATGAAACGATGTGGGTGCTTTGAGCATGTCTCCTCAAAAAAAAAAAAAAAAGAGAAAAGCATTCCTGGCGTAAGCAGCCAAGACCACATTCAGAGCAGCTAAGAACAGAGCAAGAGGGCTCCTCGCAAAGTGCCAGTCGGGATGTCATGTGCGCCCCGCTAATGTTCTCAGATGCCGACAATACTTGCTTGACCTCTGAAACCTCACAAGGGGTCTACGGAAAACCATAAAAATTGTAGATTGGACCTGAATACTGTGATGAGCACACAACCTCACTTTAAAATCAAGTTAAAATATCTTATAGGCAATGCTCGTTGATAATAATTGGTCAAAGGTGGCTCAGTATGCAGGAGTATCAAACAGCACAAGCATCTCGAGTTTCCAATTAGGGTGTCAGGCGTGCCCTGACACCCTCATCTTCAGTTTGTGTCATACCGACATAATTATGACTCGAACAATTACATCAGAGGGAGCATTACCTTTAGTTGCCAGGTTCATGGCGATAGGACGCAGTTATGAGCAATTGCTTATAGTAGTCAATGTACTGAAAAAATTGATGTCACATTTCAATCAGTGAGTACTATGTGTGCAACAATGTGGCAAGTGCGCACTGCCACCACATAAAGGAATGTTACCTTCACAGAGTTGAGCTTGTTTATCCTTGGCCTGTAGTTGTTGGGGTCCCTGCGGAACGTGATGTTTAGCAGCTCCAAAAACTTGTTCATGCCTGCCAGCAGCATCTGCGGCCTGCGCAATGAAAGGCCAACAGGACAAAAATGTTGTGGTGTCATCCGAACATGGCTCGGCAAATGCATCAACAGTTGCCCTGGCCAGCATTCCAAAGCATTGCACAATTAACCAGCAACATTTGACACCCTGGATAACTTCAAATGCAAACGTACTACATAACGTTACTATAGTATGTTTAGTACGGTGGAATGTTCCAAATGCTGTGACAAGAAAGTGCCCGATGAAAGCATTGATTGAGCTTGTGCGTAAGCCTTCAATGTGCAGTAGCGCGCACTACATGTTGCCTCCATAATCTGTGATCTCTACACAGAAACACGTGTTCAAAACATAACATAACACACGTCCAAGAACTCTACACTTTGAAATTTCAGTTTACATAGACAACGAAAACAATCTGAACGGTTGCATTCTGATGCCATGAAAATTGTAGTAACCATGATAATCTGACAAATGATATATGTAATTTTATCAATAAGACTTGGTGTTTGACTGCAATAGTCTAAAGCAGGCTAAGATTTACTCCCCTATCATGTTATAGCAAACTTTTACTCCGCTTTGAACATTTCATTGTGGAGACACCTTGCTTTGGACATGTGCTGGCATAGTAAATTGATGATATTGACACGTGCGGTTCTTTTGGTTTACGAAGAAAGCCGCTATCACTTTCTGTTAAGCGCAACGCAGGCCGCGTTTATCTTGTATGCCACTCTGGAACGCGTTACGACGCGTGTATAAAAGCCGGTGCAGTGCGCCACTGGGGGGTTCTTTTTTTTTTCTTTTTTTTTTGTGTCCCCCCAACGAAAACGTAACGATCTTCACGGAGGAGATGACGCGACTTTTCCGCCACGCCGACGCCGACATGTCTGAGGACAAGAAGGTTCGCCTGCTTATGCGAGGAGTGAAGCAGGAGCTCTTCGCCGGACTGATCAGAAACCCGCCAAAGACGGTACAAGAGTTCCTCTCCGAGGCTACCACCATCGAGAAGACTCTTGAAATGCGGACCCGCCAATACGATCGGCGCATGTCGCCAGACGTCGCAGAAGTCCGAGGACTCTGCCCCGACGACCTGCGCGAGACCATACGCGCTATTGTTCGTGAAGAACTGCGCCGCATGTTGCCATCGTCTCAGCCCCAAGTCGCCTCTCTTGAAGACGTAGTCCGCGAGGAACTACAGCGCTCACTGAACGTTCCTGAACGGCCACAGCCCCAACCGGAGGCGATGACCTACGCCGCTACTGCACGACGACCTGTCGCCGCTCCTCGCCAACACCAGGACCCAACGTCTCCGCAGTTTCATCGCCAGCCACCGCCGCCACCCCCGACGCCTTCCCGCTCGCCAGTAATCCAGCGCTCGCCGAGGAAAACTGACGTTTGGCGCACCCCGAACCACCGCCCACTATGCTACCACTGCGGCGAAGCCGGGCACACCTACCGCTACTGCCAGTACCGTGAGATGGGACTGCGTGGCTTCGACGTGAACGCGCCGCGTCCGCGCCCAGGTGAGCGACCTCGCGACATCGCCGACTACATCGCCGGATCGCAGTGGCAACAACGACGACCATCCCGTTCACCTTCGCCTGGCCGCTACGTCTCCCCGGATCGCCGCCAGTACACCGGCCCTAACCGGGGCCGATCCCCAAGCCCCTACCCGGGAAACTAAAGGCAGCAACCGATGGAGGTGCGGTTGCTGCACGACGCAATGCCGAAGATCCTCCTCCGCCGCCGCCGCCGCTGCCGATGACGACGACCACGACGCACGAACTTTCCCGACGTAGTCGCAGTACGCCGCCTGAGCAGAGTCTTTACGACAAAGCCTCGCCGCCGACGCGACATAGCAGCACCGGACCAAGCCGACGCAGCCGTGATCCGACGCCCCGACCCAACCGGAACGCCAGACGACGAACCACCGACCTTGACGTGATCATCGACGGCCACAGCGTCACCGCCCTAGTCGATACCGGCGCCGACTACTCTATCATCAGTGGTCTCTTCGCCGCTAAGCTCAAGAAGGTAAAGACTGCATGGGAAGGACCGGATATCCGAACAGCAGGGGGCCACCTTATAACACCGACTGGAACCTGCACGGCAAGAGTCACGATTCACAGCCAGACGTATTCTGTGAATTTTGTGGTCCTGCAGCAATGCTCGCGAGACGTTATTTTAGGCATGGATTTCCTGGACCAGCAAGGCGCAGTCATCGACCTAAGATCCAGGTCAATCACGCTGTCCACGGATAATGCAACGGCGTCAGACTGCAACGTCGCTCACAATGCCTTGAATGTGACAGAAGAGCAGGTAACCATCCCGCCACTGTCGAGCGTCATCATTTCCGTCGGCACCAAAGCGTCTACCAACTTACAAGGTGTCATCGAAGGCGACCAGCACCTGCTCCTAAACCGTCAGATGTGCGTCGCAAGAGGCATAGCCAAGCTTCATAACGGCGAAGCCAAGGTAATGGTGACGAACTTCAGCAACGAATATAGGCACTTGAATAGGGGCACGACGGTAGCACATCTAAGCGAATTTGTGGAAGCGAGCAATGCCTTCGCCCTCACCGATTCTCAGGGAGCCGCAACGTCGACAGCAGTGTCCGCACCCGCCTTCGACGTCAATCAAAGCCTTTCCAGGCAGCAACAAAAGGAGCTCAAAGCCTTACTCCACCAATACAAGGACTGCTTCTCGTCGTCATCGAGGCTTCGTCAGACCCCTCTCGCGAAACATCGCATCATAACCGACGAATATGCCCGTCCGCTCCGTCAGAGCCCCTACCTGAGTTTCTACACGGGAACGCGAGGCCATCAAGCAACAAGTCGACGAAATGCTGCGTGACGACATCATTCAGCCGTCTACGAGTCCGTGGGCATCACCCGTGGTGTTGGTGAAGAAGAAGGACGGAACCCTACGTTTTTGCGTCGATTATCGTCGCCTGAACAAGATCACGAAGAAAGACGTGTATCCCCTCCCACGGATAGACGATGCTCTGGACAGACTCTACAACGCCAAGTATTTTTCGTCGATGGATCTCAAAACCGGCTACTGGCAAATCGAAGTAGACGAGAGAGACCGAGAGAAGACTGCCTTCATAACACCAGACGGCCTATTCGAGTTTAAGGTCATGCCCTTTGGTCTTTGCTCGGCGCCTGCGACGTTCCAACGGGTTATGGACACAGTACTCGCAGGCTTGAAGTGGCAGACTTGCCTCGTCTACTTGGACGACGTAGTCGTATTTTCTTCCAACTTCGACGAGCACCTCCGGCGCCTTGAAGCTGTTCTTCGGGTAATCAAAGCCTCGGGACTTACCCTGAAGCCAGAAAAGTGCCGCTTCGCCTACGAGGAACTATTGTTCCTTGGCCACGTTATCAGCAAGTCGGGAGTGCTCCCTGATCCACAGAAAACAGCTGCGATCGCCGACTTTCCTGCACCCACCGACAAGAAAGCAGTACGCCGATTTCTTGGCCTCTGCGCTTATTACAGGCGCTTCGTGAAGAACTTTTCGCGGATCGCCGAGCCACTGACGTACCTCACGAAGGCCGACGTCGACTTCAAATGGGAAACGCCGCAAGTCGAGGCATTTCAAGAATTAAAGCGACGCCTGCAAACGCCGCCAATACTGGCGCACTTCGACGAAGAAGCTGACACCGAAATTCACACGGACGCAAGCAGCACAGGACTCGGCGCCGTGATCGTGCAGAGGACCGACGGACTTGAAAGGGTCATCACTTACGCTAGCCGGTCACTTTCGAAGGCAGAAGCCAATTATTCCACGACAGAAAAGGAATGCCTTGCCATCATCTGGGCTACATCAAAGTTCCGCCCCTACCTGTACGGCAGGCCTTTCAAAGTCGTGAGTGACCACCACGCCTTGTGTTGGCTAGCTAACTTGAAGGATCCATCAGGGCGCCTCGCACGGTGGAGTCTCAGACTACAAGAATTTGACATCACCGTCGTCTACAAGAGCGGACGAAAGCACTCCGACGCCGACTGCTTGTTTCGCGCCCCTGTCGACCCGCCGCCCCAGGATGACCAGGACGACGACTCTTTCCTGGGACCCATAAGTACCGACGACTTCGCGGAACGCCAACGAGCTGACCCAGAGCTCAAGATCCTCATGGACTACCTGCAAGGCAAGACCGCCGACGTGCCGAAAGTATTCCGCCGAGGACTGGCTTCGTTTTTCCTGCGAAACAACGTCCTCCTGAAGAAGAACTTCTCGCCGCTCCACGCCGACCACCTCCTCGTGGTGCCTTCAGCGTTACGTCCAGAGGTTCTGGAAGCATTACACGACGACCCGACAGCCGGACATCTTGGTGTTTCCCGCACACTGTCACGAATACAAGAGAAGTACTATTGGCCTCGCCTCATTGCCGACGTCGCCCACTACGTAAAAACATGCAGAGACTGTCAGCGACGCAAGACGCCGACAACTAGGCCAGCCGGACTTCTGCAACCCGTCGAACCACCTCAACGGCCATTCCAACAAATCGGCATGGACTTACTGGGGCCGTTCCCGACGTCAACTTCTGGCAACAAATGGATTGTCGTAGCGACTGACTACCTCACCCGCTATGCCGAAACAAGGGCCTTGCCCAAGGGCACTGCCACCGAGGTCGCCAAGTTCTTCATTGAGAACATCGTCCTCCGCCACGGAGCCCCCGAGGTCCTCATCACCGACAGAGGTACGGCCTTTACGGCTGACCTAACGCAAGCGATCTTGAGGTACAGTCAGACAAGCCACCGCCAAACTACCGCGTACCACCCACAGACGAATGGCCTCACCGAGCGTCTAAATAAGACCATCGCCGACATGCTGGCCATGTACGTGGACGTCGAGCACAAGACGTGGGACGCCATACTCCCGTATGTAACCTTCGCGTACAACACGGCCGTGCAGGAAACGACGCAGTTTGCTCCATACAAGCTCGTCTACGGACGGAGCCCAACAACGACGCTTGACGCCATGCTACCGGTCGGCACCGACGAAGAAGACCTCGACGTCGCCAGCTACCTGGATCGCGCTGAAGAAGCTCGACAGCTAGCCCGCCTGCGTATCAAGAGCCAACAGACGGTCGACAGGCGCCACTACAACCTTCGACGACACCACACCGAATACCAACCCGGCGACCTTGTCTGGGTCTGGACGCCGATACGACGACGGGGATTGTCTGAGAAGCTCCTGCGACGCTACTTTGGACCCTACAAGGTAGTCCGACGTCGTGGTGAACTGGACTATGAGGTCGTGCCCGATGGCTTAACGTCATCCCAACGACGCCGTGCACGACCGGAAGTCGTACACGTGGTGCGACTTAAACCTTATTACGCGCGCTGATTAGCTGTGACGCATTGTTAATGTAATTTATTGCATGTACTCTCTCTTATGTTCTGTCTTTAGCATCGGGACGATGCTTTTTCAGAGGGGGGTAGTGACACGTGCGGTTCTTTTGGTTTACGAAGAAAGCCGCTATCACTTTCTGTTAAGCGCAACGCAGGCCGCGTTTATCTTGTATGCCACTCTGGAACGCGTTATGACGCGTGTATAAAAGACTGACACGTGCGGTTCTTTTGGTTTACGAAGGAAGCCGCTATCACTTTCTGTTAAGCGCAACGCAGGCCGCGTTTATCTTGTATGCCACTCTGGAACGCGTTACGACGCGTGTATAAAAGCCGGCGCAGTGCGCCACTGGGGGGTTCTTTTTTTCCGTCGGCCGACGACTGTTCACGCCGCTGTTGCTGTGAGTTGTGTTTGGCCCTGTTTTGCTGGGCACAAGTTCGCCCAATAAACAGTTCGCCTGACACCGCCCTGACTCCTGCGTGCTTCCTCTCAAGTGCTGCGTGTATCTCAACCTCGTGACAATATGCATTAAATATGGTACAATGAGGTTTAATTTATCTTCAAAATGTTTACGAATAACATGATGCTGTACCAATGGTGCAGCAATATTACCGTACTAATAAAAATAAGGTACAGTTAAACTCCCCTTGTAATAGTCTAACCTGACACAGAACTAGATTAACTATATACAACATATTTATTATATGTATTTTTATATCATAATAACAGTGAAACACACTCTTCATTTACTTTGTTACATCCCATAATTTGTTACATCTGTGTTTGACCGCAGCTGACGAAAAGGTCTGTATCGCTGCTCAACAATGACATAAAGCTCGAAAAGATTCGTCGCCTAGCATGTTACAGTCGACGTCCGATTTCCCGGAGTCATCTGTGGCACCGTCAAGTTCCCCATAGAGTCAATGTATTAAAAAGTCTGAAATCCCGGATGCTTTTAGCCTTCCGCATCCGATTTCCCGGACTTTTTACTGTTAACTGCCCACCTAAAGTCACCACCGACGACACCATTTTGGTTGTTCTCATATCCTCGAACCCGCCATACTTACATTGCAGGTATGGTCAGCAGCACAGCCGCCAACCGTCGCACCGCGCCCCGGCTGCCGTAACCTCGAAACTGCACGTGTCAATCCGTAGCCAGCCGTAGCATAGCGGGTTTGCCAAGCCAAAGCTCACTGCGTTCGTTCATGAGTTGTTTTGTCAGCTCTGCGGTCGTGTCTGCGGTTGATCGTTTGCTGCTGCGTGCTATCTTCAGTGATCACATTTCCCAACCTTCAGCATCCATTGAGTTCCTAGCCGTTTCGTGGTGCACTTTTCGTCGAGCAGATTCGCCGTTTACAGCGATGGCACCGACTGCTCCTTCGTCTTCGTCCGCACCTTCGAAGCGCACAAAGCCTCCTCGTAGGCTGATGATGGAGAAGAAAGCCGCGATCATTGAACAGGTCCAACGCGGTAGGTTGCAGGCAGAGGTGGGGAGGGAGTTCGGAATTTTGAAGCAAACTGTTTTGGACTTCATCAAAACCAAGGCAAAGATCTTGGAAGTGGCTGCCAAATAAACCGGGGCTGGAAAGAAGAATGCAAGCCAGTGTGTTTACCCTGAGCCACACGACGAGTTCTTCCTCGAGCTTCGGGTAAACACCCGAAGCTCGAGGAAGCACTCGTCGTGTGGCTCAGGGATATGATCGTTGAGAAAATCTTGGTGTCAGGCGACATCCTGAAGCAGAAGGGGGAGGTTTTCGCACTTGAGATGGGCGTGAAGGACTTCAAGTTCAGTGATGGATGGCTTCGCAATTTCAGGAGCCGCAATGACTTGAAGTTCAAGAAGATGTGCGGGAAAAGCAGCGCCGTCGACGATTCCGTTGTCGCCGAATATCAGGATGGAAAGCTGCAGTCCTTGCATCACCAGTTTCCACCTAATCATATTTTCAACTGCGACAGAACTGGACAATTCTACAAGCTGCTGCCAGAGAAAACGTTCGCATTTGCTGGTGACCCCTGCTACGGCGGCAAGCACAGGCAAGGAGCGGCTCACTGTCCTCGTTTGCAGCAGCATGTCAGGCAGCGAGAAGCTTCTGTTACTAGTAATAGGCAAGACGAAGCATCCAAGATTTTTCAAGGGGGCAGTGACTCTGGCTGTTCTTTATGAAACTAACAAGAAGGTGTGGTTAATGCAGCAGTTATTCGAAGCGTACGTGCACAAGCTGGACAGAAGGTTCGAGCAGCAAAATCGCTGTTTGTGGATAACTGCACTGCGCATGGCCACATCAAGGACCTAAAGGCTGTACAGATTGAATTTCTGCTGCCGAACACCACAGCAATCCTTCAGCCGATGGATTAAGGCATGATTCGGAACTTGAAGCATCATTACAAATCATGCGTGGTCAGTCGCATGGTGCTCTACTCCGACAATGGGAAAAGCTACACTGTTGAGCTCAGGTCTGCCGTCCGCATGCTGGCGGAATTGTGGAAGGCGTTACACAAAGACTCTGTGGAACTGTTTTGCCATTATGCTTTACACTCAACACCATGACGGCAGTTTCGCCCCAAGTGGACAGCGTGCGTGAAGAACTGCCAACTGCAGATGTTGCCTTCAACGATCTGGGCGCTGCCGGCGTGTCGATTCCAGCCGGGATAACCTTTGAGGGCTTCACAGACGCTGACAAAGACCTCGAGCTATGTGCGGACTTGACCGATCACGAAATCATTCGTCAACTTACGGAGGATTCCGACGACTTCGACATCGAGAACGAAGAGCCATCCTACATAGCCAACGAGCTCGGAGTTGAAGCGAGCACTGATGACACTGTAATCGGTGTATAGCGGCAGCATGACGTTGACTTAAATTGAGGCAGACATGATCGCAGGCTAGCGGAGTGCCGTGCAAAAGAAAATAGGTAACTTCTTTGTGCCCAAGTGCTGACCTATGAAGTAGCGTCGGCCACAGTCGGATTTTTTTTTTTTTATAAACGGCTCTTTTTAGAGCCACCTAAACGATGCATTGGCTGAATTTTAATGGGAATCTTGTACTCCTGGCTATTATCCTCTCCATCAGCGAAAAATACCTACAAAACAAGGCGCCTTTTCACGTGCATTCGTTTTTCCGGACGTTTTCGCGTTCCCTTGAGAGTCCGGGAAATCAGTTGTAGACTGTACTTCAGATTGGCGGGGTGAGCATAGTACATGTCATAAATACTCGGCGTACCCAGAACACCACAAAGCGTTGCATACAAACAAAAGTACAACACTGGCACCAGCGGTTCGGAAGGACGGTTAAAGGTGCATTAGAGGCATTGTGCATTGCAAGCATTTATAATTCTCAGTTGTGAAGTAACGCTGTCTGGCAAAGGTTTAGAGTCTTGTTGGGTCTCAACGAGAATGAACCGCACTCTTAGAACACACGGGGCACAGTAGACGTGGCCGAGCAAACCACACAGACATGTATACATTTATTCACTTGCTTTTACAATGATGATATCGCCAGCTGAATCAAAGCCGTCATGCTAAGCAACCTTATACAAATGCCAACTACAACACACAAACAACATAACAAAGGTACCACAAATGCAGCATCGCGGATGTACGGCTCATCACGAAGGATTAACCAGAAGCGACCCGTGGTGTCGACTCCACGAACCCTCCGCAGGAGATGTTTGTCAGCACTAGCCTAGCTTCTTCGCTGTCGACCGTGCAGCGCTGCTGTCACCTACGTGTAACCCTAACCTACACGAGCACCGTTCGAACACCTGCTCGGTGGTCGTCAAACTTAAACGCAATCTATCTGTGAAACTCATGTGCCCCATGAGGTGCAAAAGACTTTACAGCGGCTAAAAGCACCCCCACGGATTCCACTTACAGTACCCATTTGCTGACACAATAAACCATCAGCTAAAGCATGCCTAATTACACATAATGAGTTTTTACGAGATGCAACACTTACGCATTCGCTAGAGTCTTGACCGAGGGCTGTCCCTCGAAGACGATGACTCTGTCGGCCAGATATGTGGCCATGATGAAGTCGTGCTCAACCACGAAACCAGTCTTCTTGGCATGCAGAATGAATCGTTTGATGACCTTCGCTGCCACCAGACGCTGCTCGGAGTCGAGGTAGGCCGACGGCTCATCTATTAGGTACACGTCGGCAGGCTTGCCAAGGCACAGTGCCAAGGCCACACGCTGAAGCTCGCCGCCGGACAAGTTTTGCACCTATGGGTAGGTCACAGAACATAATCAGACACGCAATCCCAAGAACAAAGTGATACAGAACACACAGCTCCCATGTATTCAAATGGAGCTCGATTTAAAAGTTGGCAGAAAATGGTTTCCTCAACAGACCGCATTTGAACTTGCTTCGACTGTGGTTAACGAATTTCCTAGGCAAAAAATTGGTTGCCATTGCTTTTAATGAGAATCCGAAAACATTCACTTCAACACACGAGTTTCTGGTGCTAAAAAATGTTCGCAAAAACAGATCACAGGGTTTGTACAGGTGTCCAAGAAAAAAAAAATCCAGAACCTTCAAAAAAATTTAAGGAGCACGATATTAGTTTACGGTAAATTTTATTGCACAAAGCAAAAGATGTTCATTTCAGTTATTGCATAGCTTCAATAGACTAAAGGTTCTGAAGCTCAGGGCAGGTTTTTAAGTCTTTTTTTCTTAATTCTTTTGCAGGCTGTCACATTAGCAAGTGTGCTGTGTTATTTTTTTTAGCACTTTACTGAGGGAAGTCAAAATAAATCCTTTCAAGCATGTCCACTGCAATAAGTGCATTCGCCCAACTTTTCTTTTTTTTTTCCCAGAGAGCTCAAGATGCTGTAGCCTCGTTGTGGCCATCAGCTTATGGCTTCTGGCCAGCCAAAGCCAAAGCAAGCGTGCATGCCCGAATCTCGCCAATCTACAGGCGGTTTGACTACGTCTGATTTTAAAATTGCGGTGTTGTGGAACACAATGAGCAATGAAGCTTGTGCAGGACCACCCTTGACTGCCGTGGATTGCGAGTCATATAATTGGACCCTGTGAAAGTTCCCAATATTCAAGAATTTGAAGGACTAAAATGAAATTCCAGGACTTTCAAAAAGAAACTAAAATTCAAGAGTTTTTAAGGACTTCAAGGACCTGTGCGCATATATATAAATAATTTTTTAAAAATGTATCGACTAAAAGGGCTGATTGTTCGGTTTTGTATAAACTACAATATAGACCTTTCCATAGGGCAAGGAGCACTGCACTAGCAACCAGAGATTTCTTTCTTTCTCACTCGTGCACGATGGCGTAAAGTGTGTAGGCTGGTATCCGATGAGTGGCATTCTTGAACAATTTTAAGAACGTCGGAAGAACAATATATAAGAGCATCTGAAATTTTGGATGCTAAAATCTTGGCGTGCAATTTTTTGGACTTCCTGCCAAAATTTCAGGTCCACAAGAGCATTAACTGAGCCCCCACATCTTCCAGATCTATCCATTTTCACGATGGAACAAGCGTTTTCTTGAGTTAATGCATTTTGAGGCTGTAGCATAGATTGAAAGGCAGCTTTGCCGCAATACGAATGTGATGGGGCAAAGCATATTAAAAATCTGTAGGGGCCTTTGACAATCGCACGTTGACTGTATTTGTCTTGGAAGTTCGAATAGTGAAATTCTGATGCAAATTGAATCGAATGGCAAACAATATTTGAAAAATATATCAAATATTTCCTACACCCCTAATAAAAAGGCCCAGATGGTCAAAACCAATTCAATGCCCTCCACTAAAGTCACTTATACATGCATGGTTGTTTTGGTATACTTTTGAGTGTACTTATCTTGATTCACTGATTTGCTTGCCAAAGATAGCACAACCCTGATAATATATGCACAAGCTACAATTATGCTAACATCCCATGCACCAGCAAAAGAAATGAATAAGTGCATTCTAATTAGGTAGCTACAACACGTTTGTGAAAGGCAATTACTGTACTTACTTCCTGGTCAATGATGGCATCGATCTGCAGTGGTTTCATGACGTCCGCAATGAACTGCGGGTGCACATAGGCATCCCTTATTTTGTCATGAAGCAACATTCGCACAGTTCCTTGAGATTTCGGGGAAATCTTTTGAGGCTTGTAACTGATGTTTAAAGAAGGGACATCACCTGTATGCATAACAAAAAATATATATACTTGAAGTGCATGAACATTCAAGAAAATGCACATTACCGCTATAACATACAAAGATGCAACAATGGAGGCCATAACTTCCTCATACATTCCTACGGTTTGAAACGGTCATCTATGGGTATTAACACAGAAACTAACTGTCGTTGTAATCATTCCTAAAAAAATGCGACTCACTAGTATTAAACACAAAGCACTGCAACTGAATCCAAGCTCCTGTATATACTACACTCAAACCTCGACATAACGAACCCAGATATAACGAAATATTGATTATATCAAAGTCAATGAAAAATAGTCTTATAGTATATACAGTGCTAAAGATATACCTTTATAACGAATTTTCGAATATAACAAACTTACTATTGTGCAAGATGACACTTTGTTATAATGAGGTTTCAGTGTATATTGTTGCAGAATGACTATAGCTGGAACCCGCAATTAAAGATGGGCAAAAGTTTAGGTTCAATGCAACTTTCAAGCAAACAGCAATTTGGTCAAATAATTTCAAATTGAATAGTTCAAATAGTACACATCATATGATTAAGGAAAGTAAAGTTTTTGTCATGACCCAACTAACTTACGCAGTACTTGAACTAGAGACTAGGAATGTGACTTATTTATTTGAAGTGACGTGAAAACAACTTTAAATATTAGCAGCAAGGGTTCTATAACACTAGAGTGCAAGTTATATCTGGTCCAATACGTTACGTTTTAAAAGTTACTATGCTTAGTGCATATTCAACGGCATAAAACGCTTTCAAACTTCAAAAACAGTAAGTGGATGTAAAAGCAATACGTACATTTAATCTTGAAGTGTGAAATTGCAGCAATGTGAATTTACACTGCTTGGGCAGTTTCATGGCATAGAACTACTATGTTGATGTGAAACCACCTTTACAGGGGGACTATAGGCACTTGAGCTTACAAACATTTATTCGTACAGTGAATTCTCACTTGTACTACTGTACTTCTTCACTATACGTGTCGAAGCAAATTCAAATATATTAAAACCTCTTTCTTTCAAACTCGGTTATTTCAAAATCCCGTTTAATTTGTAGTATTTATCACGGTCATGTATTTAGCAATGTAAGTTTGAGTGGCCAATTTGAAGCAGCAGTCAGCACCAGTCCAGTTAATCTGAAGGGTGCAGCGTGCCAATTCCCAATTTCGCTGCAAATCCACGGAAACTATGGCCCTTATGAGCCATTAAGCAATGACTGAAGCAACACTAATGAGTGGTAGCCAAAGCAACCAAGCCTCGCTGCTTACAGTACGAAAAATAAGATTAAATAAAGAATACGATCTCAGGACCACTTTAAATGTGCACCTGCAGACGTGCTTCACTGCAACACTAGCAATGACGCGCAAGCAGCATGTCGCATGCTTCTCGCAACATCAGTGCGTCATAATTTAGCCGTTCTTACTGGGAATATAAAGAAATTAATAAAGGGCAGTCTGGCAGAATTTGTGATGTATGCAAACCTCTGAGTGCCTGTTGCTCTAGCCATTTCCGCACTTGCACTGCTGGCGGAGTTTTTGCCTGCATTGCCTACTCTGAAAAACCCGTTCGAAAGCTTCAATCACCTATGTTTTCAAGCCAAAACACTTGACAAATTTTATCGCACTGTCTATTATTAAATTCGTTAAAGCATGGGTGAATCGTTGCGTCATGACGTGCTAGCGTAGCGAGACGCAGCTGACATGCTGCCCACGTGTCATTACAATGTTGCAGTGAAGATGTCTTGTATTTTGCAAGCTCGCGTTTCAACTGATCCCTTTTTTTTTTCTCGATGGCAGCAGTGAGACCCAGCATTTCCCCTTGTTTGCAGCAAAATTGTAAAACCGGGTATTGCTGGAAAACATAACCCTCAGAGCAGCAAACTAGCCGGCACAGCAAACGACCAGCCCAGACTACTTTGAATAATTTCATGTTCCTTGCATCCCACTTTTCGTATGCTCCGCAAATTTGAAAACCTACTTCATTCAAAGATTTGTCACGGTCCCAGTGGCTTCGATTAACGAGAGTTTACTGTATATAATGTTCGATGAAATATTCAAAGCACCTGAATATTCACCCACCCCAAGCATAGACAGACAAGCAAAAGACGGGTAAAAAGGCCATATTTTAGTTATCTATTTAGAAAAAAAAAACTGGGCAGTAAACAACCATTCAGATTGTCAGACCCTCAAGAAATGTTTTGAGATTCAAGAAGAAAAATTGCATCAAAATCTGTGCAGTCATTCCTGTGCTACACTTTCCACGAGCAATGAACAATACCTAAAACACACTAGCGGAAAAAGCCTGTCTGAGTTTCCTGACAGGCCTTTATCGGCGAACTGTCTTGTTTCTGGTTGGATATTGATGAAAATTGGCACAGGACACTAAGAATGGCCTCACAGCACTTCCATAAAAATTTCGAGGCGATACCGAAAATACCTAATGAGAGAGAAATGATTTATTCATTGAACCTTGTGGAGGGGCTGAGCAATAATGCAAAAAAAAAAAAAAAAACGGCATTGAGAAAACTGCATTTAAAGTGTCAACTTTTCTTTACACCTGTAGAACACTTAAACATTGTGATCTCGGTTTGTTTTGTGATACTCGGCTTCTCAGGCATGTGGTCTCTGCCCAGTGTGCCTTTCATTAACGTAATTAACTACTTATTACAAATAATCACTCAACATTTTTAAATATATATAGGTTTATTGCATAAAAAAAAGGCTCACACCATGACAGCCTATGCCTTGTTTCCATATAACAAAGTTATGGGCAGGAGACTGGTGGCACAGGAATTTTTTAGCAGTTTATTTAATGACATGAGACGGGCATATAAAAATTCGTGCCCCTGCTTCATACATGCTCTTTTGCCACTCTAGCCGTGAAACGCATCATCATACGGCCGATCGCGGAAACGCTAATCTACGAGACTCATTGTCTCAGAACATTCATAGACGATCGCGGCGATACCAAGCATGGCTCCAAGCACGTCTAAATCACATCACAAAAGCTTATTGGCAGCACTCGATATAACCACGAAGTGCGTGGCCGCGTGGACACTGCAGCTGGCGCGTGATGCACTTGGCGGCGGCGTTCGGTAACAATGCGCGAAAAGTGTAGCTAAGATGACAAAAAATCGGCGAATCGGCGTGCACTGCACTTGGTATCGCATTTATTTTCGAGTGATGACTGCGCGATACTGCTAGTCGCTGTTCCGAGCAATCCTTTGCAGTGGAGGGGGGGGGGGGGGGGGGGGTGACAAGCTTGACTGTGGGGTCCGCTGTTGATGTGTAAAATGCCCATCCGCAGTTCCGAGGAGCTAGCGAAGTGATATGCTTCGTTGCTTGCGAAGAAGCACGTCAGGCACGAGTGCGTTAGCGCATCGTTCTTCTCCGCAGTGCCGCCGTCAGCGGAGTTTGGCCTAAGGACTCTGATGCCCCGCCGCGCTTGTCTGCCCGCCCGCTCGTAGTAATCTGATTGTGCATCCGCTTACAGCTCATAACTAAAGTGTAAGTTATATCCTAAGTGATCGTCAAGCCGTGAACATGTCACAATGTAGCGATTTTCGACAGCCATGTCCTCGAGGCGGACAAACAGCAGACCGACGATCTCCCAGAGCAAGCACAGGGCCAATGGCGAGGCAAGCTGAGGCAACATGATGGCCACAGCCAATCAGAAGCCTCAAAACGACCTTCAGACATTTGCTTTTTGTGCGCTTGTTTTTAAAGAGAGGAGCCAGCTGAGACGAAAATTTAAACACGGAAAAAATGCTCTTTCCGATAAGCCCAAAAGCCGGCTCCCAGCCGCGCCATCGCGAAGCTGTAATTTTTTTGAAAATCGCTGTTTTCTCGCAATTTCCAGATAAAAGTTTCGTAACCTAGGAGGGTGAAAAAATTTTCCAAAGCACTTCTGCACAGTTTTCCGTGTAGATATTTTGGAATCAATTGAAAAAGGATTAAAAAAATGAAAACTTGATTTTCTATAAATCAATTTTTTGTGCCATTTTTCGCAATACCAAGCCGCGTTCCCCCTAAACCGAAATATATACTCATGTTCAACACTCAGAAAAGCACACAAGGCCAAAACGCACCTCCTTCATCAGGTTTCAATCGGCCAGCCATCATACGGATGAAGGTTGTCTTTCCTGTGCCATTCTCTCCCAGCATCACTATGATCTCGGAATCTGTGAATGTGCCAGCATCCACACTCATTTCGAAGTCACCTGTCGTAAAGAAACGCACCGTCAAATAAATACATACCATGAAACTTCAAACCTTTTCTTAACTGCACATGTACGTCACCTACTCCATGGCAGCTTACCTAAACACTTCTTCATGTTGGGATACTCGTAACGGCACATCCGCTTGATTTCTTCTTCCGTAGCTGTTTCGGCAACCTTGAAGATAAGCGAAGTGTCCCTGAACCTCAGGTTCTCCGTTGGCACAAAACCGTCGAGAAAAATGTTGATGCCTGCATAGAGGACAACGATATGAGATGAAATCAAGTGTGGCACAGACCAGTCTGCAAGACATATTTGTTAGAGGCTCATGGAATGTTATGTGCACTGAAAACTAAATCCTACCTTCCCTGACAGAGAACGGCATGGTGACCACACCGTAGCAACCAGGCACACCGTACAAGCAGCAAATGAAGTCGGACAGGTAGTCTAGCACAGACAGATCGTGCTCTACAACAATGATGTACCTGCGAGAGGAAACGAGCAACACATTGAACGTACACCCATCGCATTGAAACAAAACCACTGTGCTGCGAATGGCACTGTGCAAATGAATACTGATATCTGCTTACTGCCTTTTTTTTTTGAGTAAAGTGAAGATCTAAGCACTCAAAAACCAAGAAAAAAACTGTATGTGTAGTGCCAGAATGACGCTATCTCCAACTCTGTAAGACATAACACCTAACTATTATGAAGGGCCAGCATCACAGAAAGGAACAATATGCATTAAACATTCCCATGCTACATGAAAAATGCCCTATCAAGCACAAACAGAATGTGAGGGGAAGCTTTTAAAAAGAAAAAAAAACTGTAAAACTGCTATTTATCAAAGGAAAAATATTTCTCGCAATTGGACTTTTCTGATGGTTTCCTTTGAAACCATCAGAAAAGAATTGAATTTGTACTCGTTGATTTGAATGGTTGTCCTCGTTAGGCAATATGTATATTTGTACCTAAAAGTGTGTATGAGAACAATCTTTCCTGAAATCTTATTTTTAAAACTTTCCTGGGGTCTAGAAATTGTAATCTAATAAAGTTACCTAAGAATAGCATGTTTCATTTCGCCATATTATGCACCCTTACAATTTGCACACTGTTATTTCAGAGCCTCAAATGCGATACAGTCGAACCCACTTATATAACAATCTATCAATTATAACGACCACATTTCGGTGCACTTACGATTTTTCCATGCTACCAATTGAAACTTGTCTACATACTGCAAACAGTTTTAAAGGCCTCGTAGTTTTACAACGAACACTTATGACACAATCACAGTAAAAGTATGGCCCATAAGAAGCATTCTAACACATTTGAGAGACACACGCACATTCTCCGCTGTAGTTTACTTGAGAAGAGAATATTGTAGACTGCGGTGAGTTTTAATTCTTTTTTTTTTTTTTCACTTTGTATGCGCAATACATTTACCGCGACCGTGTCAAAAGTGTTCATTATAAATGTTCGCTATATATGGACGCAGTTTCATTGGGTGGCATAGGAAATGTGTAAGTGTACCGAAATATGGTCATTAGAACAGATAGGTTGTTACACCAGGAATCGTTATAAGTGGATTCAACCGTATTTATTATGAGACACAAACAGTTGTGGTAAGTTGTAGGAAAATACAGTTACTGTATTAACTTGCACAATAGGCGCACCCCCAGTTTGGTCGGGAGAAATTAGATATTTTTTATTTATGCGCAAAATAGGTGCACCCCGAACTTGGCTATTATCAGTAGTTTTGTACCATGTTTGCATGGTTTCAATTCGACACCCTCTTACATTAACTGAAGCGAGGAAAAAAAAAAAAAATGACCACGAAAGCGCTGCGCCAGCTCTGCAGGCTCACCAAGTGTGGAAGAAGGCGGTTGCCTGGGCGTCGAAGTAACCTGTGCACCAATGTGCAAGCATAGCTACGGCCGCTAGCCAGCCGTCTGCGCTTCGTATGGAATGCGCAATCGCGTCCTCGACAAGTGTGCCCCTGTCGGAACACATGTCGTCATCACGTTTACTGCCTCATTCGCAAAATTAAAAGCTTTTCGGCTTTCCGACGTGAGGTTCAGCTTTGCTGCTACTACGTGGACTTGCACAAGCTCAACAGACTTTTGTCGCCATTGATTTCCTGGCCACGAATCTAAACGTTGTACCATGTGTTCTGCTCTTGGATCAGTGCTTCAGTGCGATATTTTCGATGCCCAATCGTCATTCTGTCTAGTACGAACTTCCCACAACAACATGCTGAACCGTAGGCTAGGCCTAATCACTGTGTGCTATTCGGTGGCAGTCGCGGGCGATCATAATGCAGTTTTGGGCAGAATCAACTTAACTCTTTTTCGGTGGCTCTACTTGAAGAAAAGGGGGCTTGGGCGGCACTTGTAACACTCAAATGGTGGTTTGCGATTTGATTGCAATGTCTTGAAGATGGGGTGCAAGCCCGCGAAACCACACGATTGGTACTGTTCAGCGCACAAATAATTCATGGGGCCTGAAACGTAATCGGCGAATTTCCGCAATGGCGCTTTCTTTTCTAAGTCTTTCAGTTTTTTTTTTCATTTGCATTCGTTTCGTTGGCAACGCGGGTCTTCTGCGGTTATTTTTGGAAATGCATCGCCTGTTTTGATTCTGAGACACGCAAGCTGCATGCTCAACACGTTTTGCGTTAGTGTAGCCTATGATGATGAAGAAGGTTGTTTTGGCTATAACACAGATAATTCTGACTTCGGTGACGCATACGTTATTAGCAGTTTATGCAGTACGTAGTAAGAAATTAAGTTACCAAAAATATTTTCTCCCGCATAATAGGCACACACCGAACTTGAAGCTGGATTTTCTGGGAAAAAAATGCACCTATTATGCAAGTAAATACGGTGTTCACTTACAGGAATGCCTTCTTATTTTTCCATTTCCTAGAAAGCGCTGCCTTTTCAGCACGCCCGTTTTCCCAAGTAAACATGACGTCCCTGATGTAGTGGGTCAGTGTGTCGCCGCAAACACGCCATCTCTCGAAAAAATTTTGCTGGTAATATGACACTAAAGTGCACACTGAACAATTGAAATGTTTCCCACTAACATTTTTTCCAGTATGTGTTTTCCTAAACGTGTTAACAGTGCTAGCAAGCACAGCTGAAATCGGCCACAAGCTGCTATGCTACATGAGAAGCAACACGAATGTGCGGAAGCCCTGCCTCCAGAGCCTTCGCCCAAATGTCAGGATAAGTTGTGACCAAGTGTAGCGAAGGATAATTCGTTTCACGTGGCAGTACCATACTTCATTGTGAAAAGGTGTTTGGGGTTTATTGACGTGTGTTGCGATGGCGGCTCTACGATGAAAACACGATCAGGACAGAGCAAAGTTCAGGCAGATGGCAGCGACGATCAGCACGAGGCGAGCAAGACGAGCTCAGCACCCAGTACCCAAGTGGTGGCGATGCTGCTTGCCAACAATGCGTTTTCTTCACAATTTGCCCCCGCCGAAAAAGAGCCACTCACCAGGTTTGACAATTTTGAGCTGACAAGCGCACTGCATAGACAAGGCGTTCATGATCACGTCTGCCAAAATTTGGAATGCTAAGCGCCGCGGAAATGGGTCAAATTTCAAGATGAAAGCTGCTCGCCCTCCCCTTTATCGATGCACGCATAGTGAATGAGGGCATGACGTAAGCGTAAGAATGACGTAAGCGTAGGTACACAGTACTGCGGTCACGTTGGACCTCTACGTAGACGACTCTGCTCTGACGTTGTCAACAGTATACCACGTGACATGGCAAAAATTATTTAACACAACATGCGTAGTTTATGTATGTTGCTTTAAGAGATGAATAAAACTTGAAATAAATAATGAGACGCAAAAATGAATTGTGCACGTTTTTCTTATATTTTTCCCGGGAAATGCTACGAGATGCGGGGCTAATGTGCCAGCGTTTCACATGCGTTCGGGTTCCCGCGGTCAGCGCATTGAGCAGACGACCGCCATGGAACGCTCCTACGCGTTCGCGCACTCATTGTGCTTATCTATTCTACCGCGTCTAAGCCAGCATTTCCAAACAATCCCGCAGAAACGGGCAGAAGACCACAAAATAACGCTGGTCAACAAAGCAACGCCACTCGCGTGCACGGGGGCTGGGCTTGTTCAGGCACGTCATGCGAACATCACGTCTTGGTCGGGTGCCGGAGAGGGTGGGGAAAAGGTTTGGCTACGCGGAGGAGCGGCAAGAGATTCGAGCTCGTCTCCTCTCGCCCTCTTTTTGCGCCGCTTCAAAAAACCTGTTTTCTCCGCTCGTAATGAACCGGTTCGAAAAATTTTTTGTGGCAAAATGTTCCTCATCGAACACTTAACAACTTGCACTGTCTAACTAAAATTTGGCATGGGGCCTGGTGAGTGGCCCTATAAGGCGGGCGACGTGGACGATGTCCATCCACGCCGGCGCATGTCCTCAGATGGGGAAAGTGGCTCAATGAGAAAATTCACCGGCGAAGTTTGCTCCAAAAGGTGGTAAGAACCCTCGTACTTTGGGACGAGTTTTGAGGAAAGGCCAGGTGTTTGGTAAGGAACAACCGGCCATACAAGTGATCCCGGGGAATAGCTGTGGCTTCGTGAAGAGCTTGCGTGGTTTTCTTTTTGGCGCTGCTGTTCTTGTGATGGTAAGGTGCGTGGAAGTTCACGGCACTCTTCCGCTTTTCGGGCAGCTTCGGACATAGATGGGCATTCGGATGCGTCGGACGGTATGGAAGGAGAGTGTCGATGGTGTAAGAAGGTTCGCGTTCATAAAAGAGAAAGAGAGGTCAAAATCCAGTGGTAGGCAGTGCCGCGGTGTTGTATGCGAACGTGATAAATGGAAGAATGGGATCCCAGTTAGTATGATGAGATGTCACACACATTGCGAGCATATCACCGAGGGTGTCGTTAAATCTCTACGTGAGCCAGTTTGTCTGCGGGTGATATGCCGTGATCTTGCGATGAAAAAGATGGCATTCAGAAAGCAGAGCCGTGGCGACTTCTGATAGGAAGGCTCGACCTCGGTCACTTAGTAGTTCTCAAGGTGCACCATGTCGTAGTATGAAGCGATGGAGGACGAAGGATGCTACGTCTCACGCAGTGGCACTTGGAAGGGCGGCGGTCTCAGCATAGCGTGTTAAATGATTCACAGCGACTATGATCCACCGATTTTTATTTTATGTTATTGATAGAGGACCATAGAAATCAATTCCGATCTGATTGAAAGGTTTGGCAGGGCATGGAAGCGGCTGAAGCGCACCGGACGAGTGGAAAAGCGGTGATTTGCGGCGCTGACAGTCGGGGCAGCCTATAACAAATTTGCGAACAAAATTATACATTCCGCGCCAGTAGAAGCAATGGCGAATAAGTTCGTAAGTTTTGAAAACTCCCGCATGGCCACATTGGGGATTGTCATGAAAGGAGGCGCGTATTTGTGATCGTAAGCTGCGGGGGAAACAACCAAGAGCCACTTACGACCTTCAGGGGCATAGTTGCGTCAGTGTAGCAGCCGATCACGAATGGCGGAATGAGCAGCTTGACATCGCAGAGATCGTGATACCATAGTGGTCGACTATCCAGAGAAACAGTCAAAAAGGGAAGCGATCCGCGGGTCCTTGTGTTCACTGGCAAAGGAGTCAAGGTCGAGAGATGCGACGGAGTTGGTACCAGTGGTTCTCCAGGTCGAGTTCGGAGGTAAAGGCGAACGAGACAGGACGTTGTCATCAGAGTGCTTGCGTCCTCTCCGATAGATCACGCGAATGTCGTACTCCTGGATTTGCAGTGCCCACTGAGCAAGGCGGCCAGAAAGATCTTTCAATGTGGCGAGCCAAAAAAGTGCATGGTGGTCCGTTACCAGGTCGAATAGGCGACCGTACAAATAAGGGCGGAACTTGTGCAGCGCCCACACTAGCGCTAAGCACTCTTTTTCAGTGACGCTGTAATTGGCCTCAGCTTTAGTGAGCGTGCGACTCGCATAAGCGACGAAGTATTCCGAGTAGCAGGCTTTCGTTGGGCGAGGACAGCGCCAAGACCAACCCTGCTAGCGTCTGTGTGAACTTCCGTGGAAGCTGTTGGGTCAAAATGCCGAAGAATGGGAGGAGAGGTTAGCAGACTACGGAGCGTGGCAAACGTGACGTCGCAGTCAGGAGACCAGGATGAAAGGTCTGCGCCGCTGTGTAGGAGGTTGGTCAGTGGTGATATGATTGACGCGAAATTTTGAACGAAGCGCCGGAAGTACGAGCATAATCCAACGAAACTGCGTAATTCTTTCAGTGTAGTAGATTTCGGGAACTCAGTGACACCACAAAGTTTTGCAGGGTCGGGGAGAACACCATGCTTGGACACGATGCGCCCAAAGATGGACAGCTCTTGCGCGGCGAAGCAGCACTTTTTAAGGTTCAGTTGAAGCCGAAACAGAGGTGTAGGAAAATCGGGAGAGAAAACGACAATGTCGTCGAGGTAGCATAGACACACAGACCACTTTAGTCCACGCAGTGTGTTGTCCATGAGTCGTTCAAACGTGGCAGGAGCATTACAAAGCCCAAAAGGCATTACGTTATATTCGTACAGGCCATCTCGTGTAATGAACGCAGCTTTCTGGCGATCAGCTTCTGCCATAGGAACCTGCCAGTGTCCAGATCGTAAGTCTAAGGAGGAGATGAATTCGGCTCTTTGGAGGCTGTCAAAGGCGTCGTCGATGCGCGGTAATGGATAGTCGTCTTTCCGCGCCACCTTGTTTAATCGCTGGTAGTCAACGCAAAATTGAATCTACCCATCCTTCTTTCGAACTAGAACGACAGGAGATGCCTAAGGACTATGCGATAGTTGAATAACGTGACGGCGTAGCATCTCTTCGAGCTGGTCGTTGATGACTTGACATTCTGCAGCAGAGACACGGTACGGTCTTTGACGCAATGACTGGTGCGAACCGATGTCAATGTAGTAGTGCATTGCGGAAGTGCGACCAAATTGCGGCTGAGAAACATCGAATGAATTCGCGAAGTGCTGGAGAAGATTAAGAAGCTCGGCGTGTTCTTGAGCACTTAAGGTGTCGGCGATGGAACTCGAGAAGATGTCACTCGACAAGCATTCCAGTGGGGGAAGGGCATGAAGTTCGGTCGAGGCGCTACTGCACGATTCGTCTGGCATGTTAAGAAAGAAAGAAGAATCAAGGTACTCCACTCGACCGAGACATTCCCCGGCAAGTAGCGTAAGCGTTGCAGAAAGAGGGTTGTGGACGAAAATATTGGTTTGGCCAGCAGTGATGTCAAGTGTAGCGAAAGGCAAAGAAACGGCTCTGCGGCTCATGAAAATGTCGGAAGGTGTAAACATTATTGTAGCATCGTTATGGTCATCGCAGCAAACAGGGACAACGGCAAGAGAGGCTGGCAGAATTTGCGGAATTTCAGTGTCTTCACGCAAGACGAGTTTTGGCGACCGATCAAGAGTTTCGTGCATAGGTTCGTCACACAGGTGTGAAAATTGAACTTCAGCGCGTGCGCAGTCGATGACGGCAAGATTATGCGACGGCATGATGAAGTCCCACCCAAGGATAACGTCATGAGAGCACACCGAAAGGACAATGAACTCGACAACGGACATAGAGCCTTGGATGAATTTGCGGGCCGCACGGGTGCCGAGAGGTCGAACTGGTTGTGCGCTAGCCGTACGAAGCGATAGTCCAGAGAGCGGCATGGTCACTTTGCGTGGGGAGCGGCAGAGCTGGGCAGCTATAACAGAAACGGCAGCACCTGTGTCGACGAGAGCAAAGGTGGAGACACCATCGACAGATATGGCGACGACATTAGCAGGTGAAGTGCGAGGACTTGGGCATTTCGACAATGGCGCAGTTCTTGCCTCTGGAACTGCGGCGTTCAGTTTTCCGGTTGGAGAAAGCGGGTCGAGGACGCATTGGGGACAGTGATCGCCAGCGAGAAGACGGGGAGCGCGGAGAGCGAGTCTGAGATGGGGGCTGGGGTGACAGACTCGGGAAGATTAGTGTAGCCATACTGCGGTGAGGGATAGGGAGCAGGTAGGTGCAGGGGCTGTGGGTCATACGGGAACAGTAGAGTAGCATCGTGGAGCGGTTGGAAGCGACAGAGACACTATCGTGCCACATGTCCTGGAGTACCACAGCTGTAGCAGATCGGTCGATTGTCAGGAGTGCGCCAGGGATTGCTGACTCGCGGTGTGGCCCAAAGTGTTGAAAGAGGGGCAGAGTGGGGAGCAATTGAAGACATAGGTGGCAAATGCTGCTGGTGGGGTCTGCTGTGTACCACCTGGGCATACGTAAGAGGCGCGGCTACGGGCTGCATAGCCGACGCATGGAAAACAGGCGTGGCCACAGGCAGCTGGTGGGCAGCGACGGGAACAGCCTGAGCTACCTCTTCAACAATAACGTCGCGGAGTGGTGAGGGCAAACGAGAGGACAGCGGCTGCTGCGTGAAGGGAATCAACGACAGTTGCCGAGCTACTTCTTCACGCACAAAGTTTTCAATCTCTTGCAGGGTCGGTTAGTGATCGGGAACAAAAGTAAAACTGGAGAGAGAGTCGGCGTGTGAGGAAAATGGCCGAGTCAGGGTGCACTGCTTCCTCAACTCGTCGAGACTTTACATAAAGTGACAAGTTCCGCAACGAAGGCAGGATTACTGGCCAGGAGCGTCTGCAATGCGCTGTCATTTATCCCTTTGAGGATATGCCGAATGCTGTCAGACTCGGGCATGGCGGTGCTTGCGCGGTAGCAAAGATCAACAATGTCTTCTATGTAACCAGTGAACGATTCTGATGGCTTCTGTGCGCGAGTCAGCAAGCGCTGTTCGGCCCTGGACTTGCAGACAGCGGGATGGCCAAGAACGCCAGCAAAGGACGTTTTGAAGATAGACCACGTCGTAATGTCGTTTTTGTGGTTGTTATACCACATTTCGGCAACGTCAGTGAGGTAAAAGATGACGTAAGTCAACTTGTCCGCGTCATACCACTTGTTGTTTGCGCTCACCAGTTCGTAATGGGTTAATCAGACTTCCACGTCGGTTTCATCAGCTCCGCTAAAAACCTTGGGCTCTCGCAAGCGAAGAACACCTGGGGTGCTGGAGGATGGAGTGGAAAAGCCAGGTTGCGCGTTGTTGGTGGCCATGACGGGTGGTAGAGTTCGGTTGCGCAGCTCCAGGTTTAGGCGACGACAAATGCCAGCACCCAGGTTCAGGCGACGGAGAATGTCAGCACCCTCCACCAATTGAGAAGGGATTTATTGACGTGTGTTGCGATGGCGGCTCTATGATGAAAACACGATCGGGACAGAGCAACGTTCAGGCAGATGCCGGCGACGATCAGCACGAGGCGAGCGAGACGAGCCCAGAACCCAAGCTGTGGCGATGCTGCTTGCCAACGATGCGTTTTCTTCTTTACAATTGGAACAGCGCGACTTCATTGAAGACGTGGTTTAATTCACTCGTGAGCAAGCGGATGTCACATAATGCACAAAAAGGCCTACCTTGTCAGCACAACAAAATAAAAAAAAGTATGGCCACAAAGCGCACATTTTCAAGGATGAGTCCACGTGCAGCAAACCACTGATATAACGACCACTTAACATTAACGTGGCACTTTCGAGCTCTTTATAAACAGGTTGGACTGTATGTCACAATCCCGAATACAATTTCTGTGGAAACACACATGCAGAGCCAACCTTACTTTTCCGGATGAATCAAGGAGCGGATCGCCTGAGCAGCCTTGAGCCTCTGTTTTACGTCCAAATAACTTGAGGGCTCGTCAAACATGAAGCTGAAAGAAATGAATAAATTAGGGGTTCTTCCAGGCAAAGCGACTTGAAAGCCCAAGCACAATACTAAATTCTGACCCACTCAGTCGTGAAGCGTTGTCAGACTCAGACTGAGCGTTGTGCAAGTTGAAGTACAACATATAAAGATGGCATGTAGTTGCTAAGATTCACATACATACGTCTATAGCGATATGAAAACACATTGCCTCAACATGCATGCTTGCACATAAAAAATCCATGTTGGTGCTCTAATAATTTCAATGAAACGCGCATTCACGGTGTAACAATTACAGAATTGGGTTCTCTGCTAGAGGCCCTTGGTTCCAATTTTCATTTATTCAATTGCCACTTATTATAAAAGATTTTGTTTTGCCTGTTTATTTGCTTTTTTTTTCTAACATCAGGGGCCACTGCTATTGCAAGCAGTAGGCTCACACACACTTCTTGAGCATAATGGTGCCTCTAACGCTTAGGCATTATTAATAAAGTGCCCGACAGCATCAACCTATAACTAAAAGCTCATGCTGGATACAATGACAAGCATGCTTACATGTCTGCTTTCTGTATGCACACCATGGCACAGGCAAAACGTTGCAGCTCCCCTCCGGATAACGCGTCAACATTTCTGTCTCTCACATTGTTGAGGTCTGCATGAAAAAGAGGGCCATCATAATGTGCTCCACTTAGGTTTGAGGAACACAGTTTGGAAAACACGAAGAACACAGTATGGAGTTCTTCACATCTTTATCGCAATTACTACAATGCACTTAAAACAACACAATTGAGATCCCCTATACCTTCCTTGGCTTTACTATCTGCTGGTTCTAATTAAGGTTGTGTCAGACACATGGCCTAGTGACAGGTGAGAAAAGCACTAACAAAAAAATTTGCCCTGGAAGCTCTTGTTTGATCCCATTCCCGTCACTTGACTTCAACTGTTAGTACATCATGCCTGTCTTTCTGTTTTTATTATTATTTATTATTATTAATAATAATAATAAATAATAATAAAAATAGAAAGACAGGCATGATGTACTAACAGTTGAAGTCAAGTGACGTGTTTAGGTATCAAGCTTTTTTTACACAGTCAAACATTAGGGGCCACTAAGGGGCCAACCATGCCACACTGATATAAGAAACAAATGGGTTTAAGAGAGACACCAGTGTGCCTACAGTAAAATACGGGCTGATAAGAAAATGCATGCGTGGTACTCCGCTTATAAGAGACATGACAAGAATTGCTGCCTCTTATAAAGGGGTTCAACTGTACTAAGAATTAAAGAGTTAAAAAAAAGAAGCAAGTTTGCAACTTTCAACTACACAATTACTGCAAACAGGTGCAGTACGGTAAAGTGCCTAAAGTGGAGGCACTGAGAGAGAAAATAGGGGCAGGTTTACTAAAATAAAATTTCTTGAAGTGCAATGCTTGTAAGTTGGTAAAATGGCTACTCAACTTTCAGTTATGTAGCATAATAACTTGAAATAACTAACTTGAAATAATCCACAAAACTAAATGCACACCATATTTGCCCCTGCTATATTTCATAAGAGACAGCTTACTGCACCGATGAAAATGAGTAGATAAGAAAGCCGAGAAAGGTTCTTTGGCTTCACAATTTAACGGTTTTGATCAAAGTTGCCTTCAACAAAGATATGAGCCCTCAATATTACCTTCCTTAAGCTTACTGAATCGCAACACTTGTCTCGTTATAATGCTAGGTACAATGGGCTATAGTTTTGCATTGCACCTCGAAAGTGTTTGCAAAAAAGAAAAAGGATGGATTTATGCTTCCAAGATTCAGAAGTTCACCATTCCTCTTAATTTTAACAAATTATGCCCCATCTTTTTCTAAGGCTGCCGAGTAACATCAAGACTTTTACACCACTCCATAAGAGTCAATTAGTTCAGAAGTTCACCATTCCTCTTAATTTTAACAAATTATGCCCCACCTTTTTCTAAGGCTGCCGAGTAACATCAAGACTTTTACACCACTCCATAAGAGTCAATTAGATTTGGCTGCCGTAAAGCTTCTTTCTATTAATAAAAGATATACGAACCGAGCACGCTGCACACTTCATCCTGATTCTTCATTTCATCCTTTTTGTCTATGAGTTGCTGCACAGATCCCTGCAAAAGAGTACAGATTATACAAGGAACTACACAATGCTTCACCCTACTTTTCTTTATCACAGCAAATATGCACCAGTTCACCAACAGCAAAGTTCACCAAGCTCCGAGAGCTGTCACACAGTATTTCCGAACTTAAGGCAGCATCCATTCTGTAGTTCGCAAGGGACAAACACGGACTAAAAACAAAAGTTCTTGGATAGGTAATGTCAAGGAATAGCCTTTTCTTACGTTGTCGGAAGTCAGCACATGTACACTAAGGGAGAAGCAGTAAAACCCAAAGCAACTTACGGTAACTACGCAGAAGTCAATTATTGAGGCAGCCAAACTCAAGAAAACTGATCAAGCAACTCCCACAAGCCACATGTAAGTTCACTTGCACCAATTTTTTTCCTACAGTTGCTTTTTAGATTTAGGCACACCTTAAATTTTGCATTCAAACATCAGCCCCCCCCCCCCCCCCTCCCCAAAATGCTGCCACTGGAAACCTATAACCTTCTTCACTGCAACAGAATGCAACAGCCCTCCAGCAACATAGTTTGTGAGGAGACCACATTTTTCTCGTAACGTGGAGAATCAAACTGTGAGGCCAAAGCAAGGGCATTTTGGCCTACTGATGAATGCATATTGTACAGCAGATGCAGGCATATCAAATGAGCCTACACACACATTTTAGCCAGCATTTAGAGAAGCTTACTAGTTGTCCCACTGGTAAGTTGTGCGTGAAAGTGTTTACCTTGACAGCCTTGGGAATCTGGTCGACGTACTGGGGCTTGATAATCGCTTTCAGATCATCTTCCAAGATCTTGGTGAAGTAGTTCTGAAGCTCCGAACCGCGGAAGTACTGCAGAATCTCCGTCCAGTCTGGAGGATCCTTTATGTGCATGGAGATAAATTACGAGTGAGTGAAATTGCGGTAATGCTTGATACGTATGCAGAAGCAGACACATGATAACTTCAAAGTGACACGCCAAAGTACATCATACAGGAACTGGTGTCCATTATAACACCAAATATTAATAATATATATGTGGGTTTTAATGTCCCAATACTACGATATGATTATGAGACGCCATAGTGGAGAGCTCCGGCAATTTCGACCACCTGGGGTTCTTTAAGCGCACCCAAATCTGAGCACACGGGCCTACAGCATTTTTGCCTCCATCAAAAATGCGGCCGCCGCAGCCGGGATTCGATCCCGCGACCTGCGGGTCAGCAGCCAAGTACCTTAGGCACTAGACCACCGCGGCGGGGCGCCAAAAATTAATATTGGCGCAATACACGAAGCAGAAAAGGGTGCTGTTAAAAACAGTACAAACACTCTGATCATGCTCATTTTACCGAATGTAATTTAAATTTTCCAAAAAAGTATCCAGCACAGTTGCTACAACTAAAGATATTGCTCTATTTACAGAGGTACGTAATCATTTAAAAGAGAGAAGGCACGCAAACATGGTCACAAGGATGTCAAGACAGCACGGTTGTTAGTAGACGTTTGTGGCGTCCCAACATCCTTCTTGTGTCCACTTTTGCACACCCTGTCTCTCTTGGAATGAAAATGTACCAATTACATCAGTTCTCTGCAATTCCAAGTAAACATGTAATTGAATAAACATGTCACCTTAGCAAGTCAATGTTTGGCCTGCAATTTTTTTTTATTAAGTAACAGCAGGAGCCGTATTGTGGAGCTGGAAATGAACATTATTTACACTGCACGGGTAAGAGATGAGAAACTGCACGGGTAAGAAATGAGAATGCACTATTTGTTCAAATGTGTTATGTCGAGTGACCCATGAAGCACACACAACCTTTCCTACTTACTCCATAACGACCTAAGTTGGGTTTCAGTTTCCCAGCCAGGATCTTGAGGGCAGTTGATTTTCCTATTCCATTTGTCCCAACCAGACCCAAAACTTCACCGGGTCTTGGAGTAGGTAACCTGGAACATGACGCACAGATGCTTGATGATGTTCTGCTCAATCAGAAGCAAATATTTAACGTCACTCACCTGTGCAACTTAAAGGAGTTCTGGCTGTACCTATGAGTCGTATCTTTCTCAAGGTTACTGGGCAAGTTGATAATAGAAATGGCTTCAAACGGGCATTTCTGGAACAAAATAAACACCATGTAAACCAATGCGGTGCACACTGTCACCTCTGCGCTGACTTACAGCACTATAGTTCGTACAGTAAGCTACTAATGACGAAACGCGAGGTAAACGTAAGTAATGCCATTCATAGTATCGAGGCCGATTACCCACCTTGACGCAGATACCACAACCGATGCACAAGTTCTCCGATATCGCAGCGATCTTGTCGTTGGGCGTTACTTCTATGCAAAGTTTGCCTGGACAGAAGAAATGCGTCGCAAACTTGAGCAACCAACGCAGGAGCGGAGCTAACCTCCGCAGCAGGCCAAATGGGGGTCACTCTTACCGAGTCTCACAACAGGACACGACTTCTTGCACTCTTGTTTGCATCTCTTGGGCTTGCATTTGTCTGTATTGACAATGGCGATCCTTGTTAACTTATCCTGTGAACTCATGCCTCTTGTCACTACTCGCTGAAAAATGAGAGACGAGGTTCGCTGAGAAATGTTTTTTGCCGCAGGCGTGACCTCCTTCCTTCCTCAAACCATATGTTCATCGCCACCAGTTAACGAGAAGTCAGCCGGAAATGAAAGAACACGCGCAGTCCAATGACTTCAACGGCATTCAATTACAAATCATTCTTAAATGCTCATACGTTGCGTAAAGAAAGATATTACGGACGAATTGCTTTCACGGCTTCAACACTCGTAATCGTACCGGCAGCAACAACGCGGCTGCTCCGGAAAGCAGCGGCACCAACATTGAGAGAAAACTAGCAGAAAAATTAGAAGTAGGCTGACACTTTTATGTCCGTTTTGAATGCTTCCGAACAGTTTAATACTTCTCCGCGAGCCCGGTTTGCTTGAAGCCGGCTCGGAAATAATACGGGCGCACAGGCACAACTAAAGTGGTCCACAAAGCAACGCGCTCTAGGTAGAAGCACGCTGAGGCTAATTCGACCGAGAATGGGGCGTATATTATTCCGTCGCAAACTGAGAAAGCTATTTATCCGTATAAACGCTTAAATATAACTTAATTTGACAGTTACCTGATCGCAGCGAGTATCCACGTGAACAAGATGGCGGGAAAGGACGCCTAGAGGGGTTTCGCCCAGCTACAATGACGTTAGCGTGTTATGTGCTGCCACCTACCATGACCTACTACACTCCTGACCTGTTCAGATAGCGGGGTTCCTATGGGAGCGCGTGTCCCCGCTCTCGTTCAATCGCTCGCCGTAGGTGGCGCTACCTATAACCTGTTCGTCTGCTACTTTGCGGTTGTTTTTACGACGCTGGAGTAAGAATGCTTGCATTTCGTAGTGAACTGCTGGCATATATGTGACTATTTCTTCACTTAGATGGCTGGTCAAGTAAGCTGTTCAGTGCGCTTAACTGTTTATTGCACACTGATTGACAAACGTGGGAATCCGTAGACGTTTACATTGTGCATGTAGGACAGCCTATGTGATGGCGCGTCCATTTAATGGCAAAAAATACTGAATGCCTTATAGTATATATATTTTTGAATTACTTTTTAGTTGTGCATAATAAATACGTACTGTGAGTGTACTGCTGGCCAAAAAATGACCACAGACGCTCAAAGCGACGTCAGCGAACAGGTGCTGCCTAGCGCCACGCCGCTCGTAGGTGACGGCCCTAGCGGCAGAAGGTATGAACTAGAACGTGGGCGCTGGAAGAGGTGCTCTCTGGGCAGGTCAGGAGTGTAGTAGGTCATGCCACCTACACCCGAAAACCGCAGACAGAGAAATGACAACGTCTCCTAAAGAAATTATGCCTGGAACGTGAGCCGCGAACGCGCTGGCCTACCCTCCGATTTTATCCTCCTCCTTCAAGGCAAGCGTCTCCGACGGCCGCCTCCTGCGAACACAGCAATGCTCTCACAGTTGCCTCCGAGCAGCCGTGATGTCATGTGACTGAGCGGTACGGACTACGGAGGCGAGAGGTCTCACGTCGCGGCCGGTCGCAACACAAGGCAGGAGGCGTGGCCTCCGAGATTACGTGCTGGCAAGAGGCTCCCAATTGAAGAGAGCGACGTTCCAGGTATAGTTTTTCTGGGAGGCGTTGCTTGGGACATAAATGGCGAGATCCTCCCAGCAGCCATTGTTCTTTACAAAAAACGGGCTGTATTCATAGAAGTGTGGCAGCTTGGGCTAGTTGGTATGGCATGACGATAGTTATAGCGCGAGAACAAAACGACGACACAGAGACAAGGACACGAAAGCTCATGTCTTTGTCTCTGCGTCGTCGTTTTGTACTCGCGCTATAACTATCGTCAGGCTGTATTCAGTCACGATACACGGTCAAAATTCTTACCGTAGCTTCGGCACGTCAAAACTCCATCTTTATTAGAAGTAAAACAGAAGGGTGGATTCTTATGTGCCAGGATCACCACCTGATAATGTAACACTTGGTAAGCACGCTCGGGTGTTTCGCCACCAAACTCTTTTTTTAATGCGCTCCTGAAACCGGAGCACGCTAATGTTTTCGCACTTGACATTTCAGCGCAATGCGACCATCGTGGGCAGAGGTCGCACCCGCTACTTCGTTTAGCCATGCCACAGAAAAGAAGTCTTGTGAACTCTGCGGAACGTTTCTTTCTTCTAGCACCCCGGGGTCCAATTAACCTAAACTTGCAGCACACAGTGCCTTTATGAGCAACGGACATAAGCTTTGCATGATAGGTGATGAATCATTACAAAAACACAGCATGCATCTTTCACACATTTTATTGGCCTTCCAGGGCGACACTTCAGCACTCGTCCTTGACCACTGTACCCTTCTCAGAGACATAGATGCCGTCCAAGAACTTTCGGATATCCTTGTTTTTAACCAGCGTCGACTGCTGAATTCTTGCAGCTGAAACAATGAGAACCTTGTTTTGAACAAACGTAGATTGTTAGATCCTTGCAGCTAAAAAAATGAGAACAAAACTAATCTCTGAAATTTCATAAGTTGTTTAGCAGCTGAAATATACCAAAACAGCATGTCGTCTGGCAGAAATAGCTTGACAGCACAGAAAAAGCTCTCAAACCAAAAAAAAACAGAACTATGCTATTGCACCTGTTGCGACCTCTGCACCGAAATTGAGAATGCAGAGGGTAAAAAAAGTGCTTTCAATTTAGACACTTGAGCTATGAATGCTAGATTTTCAGGTTACATTGATTAATAGCTTAAATTCTTGTTTACTTTAACTGTGCTCTACAAACATGTGAGCTACATTATAAACAAGTCACTTTTAGTATTCCATGCCAGGGGGTCTTGGACGGAGTGCAAGCTTTAGTTTATGTTGCCTTTATAACAAGTGTCCCAAGAAAAGCGGCAACCAACTGGAATATACATGCAGGAATGCAAACAGGCTTGAATCCATGGTGCTTCGAAACCCCTAACTTGTCTATGGCATCAGCATTGTAATATTGTTGTCTGAAAAAGGTCATTTGGTTAATATGATGCAGCACTTTTATGAATGGAACACTAATACTTCGGACAGGCTTATGCTTAAAAAGTGCGATAAACTGTGAAATCTGACCTTTAGCCCCCCCCCCCCCCCCACACACATAAATTGAGAGGTTCAGATTTGTCTTATATGCAATAGGGAATAATTGTTATGTGATACACCTAGTCTAGTCACAGGCCTTGCAGGTTCAGATCCCACCGGCCAGAAGCACATCCTGCCTTCGTTATTTTACCCACAGCAGAATTTTGATTGATTGATATGTGGGGTTTAACGTCCCAAAAGCACCATATGATTATGAGAGACGCCGTAGTAGAGGGCTCTGGAAATTTCGACCCCATGGGGTTCTTTAAAGTGCACCCAAATCTGAGCACACGAGCCTACATTTCCTCCTCTATTGGAAATGCAGCCGCCACAGTCGGGATTCGATCTCGCGACCCGAGGGTCAGCAGCTGAGTACGTCAGCCATTAGACCACCGCGGCGGGGCCACAGTAGAATCTTAGACAAAGAAATAGTCTACACAGAAATGCTTTTCATTTTGTTGGTATTGTTTGACTAGAGACCCACTACAACGTTTTCTCACTAAAAGAAACTCCCATTAAACTATTTTCTACTTCCTTTCAAAGTCTTCATTTAAAAGTATTTTACATCACCTTGATAAACACAGCTTATATCTCCTAAAATTATAGTGGATTAACAAAATGAAGCCTTATGTTGATCACCCTTACTCAATTCGTCAACATGAACGATAAACAACAGGCAGGGAATGGAAACAAACCAGAGCGGGAGACAAGCTCAATGTCGTTGCCTTCCAGGATCAGTTCATCCTTCTGCGCCGTGGAGTTGACACACGTGACACCAGGCTGCATGCGGACCCTGCGGATGTACTTCTCGCCCAGGAAGTTGCGGATCTCAACCAAGGTGTTGTTTTCGGACGTCGTCACGTTGATGGGAAAGTGGGCATAGACTGTACGCATCTTGTACTGGAAACCCTGCAACATGAAACACCAGCGTAAACATCTCAGGTCTTTGGCAGCACGTAGTGTGTGTAATAATTCCACGTGACCTATTCACAGTGAGCAAGCTCTCACTTATTTCACATTTGGAGTGTATCAGCAGGTATTACTTCATCATGATTTTTTGATAAGACGATGCTTGCCAAAGCGGTAGAAGTAGGAATATTTTGAAAGAAGTGGTACACTATATTCACAACTTTAACTCCGCAATCACGGTTATGTACTTGCAGTTCTGTAACAAAAGTGTGCTTTCAAGTGACAAATTTTTTTTACTTGTACATGCCCTCAAAACCAGAAAGTATATAAGCTTCTTTAAAATTGAAAAGTCAATCCTCGTCTTGCATACCATTCACTGGCAGAAAGACTACAGGAGGCTTGGAACTAAGGAGATGTAAAGCTACCTACGTCAATCATGATGACCATCACCCCTTCGTTTTGCAGTGAGGTGGCCCCTTTTTTGCATTTTCATTGCTATGCTTCGAATCTATTTGTGAATCCATGCTGCTAATCTTTCTTCTATTATGTGAAGAGCAAAGCCACTAGCAGTTCACTGTAGCCCAAGAAAAAGTGCTGCGTGGTACTCGCAGCACAGTTACAGTGAGAGCTGAAAGGTGCAACTGCTGCTGCAAGTACACTTGCAAGCGAGGTACCCACTATGCCATAAATCAAGATTTTTGCTAACTAGGGAAGCAACCACTACGCAATCACCCAATTCTATGAAACTGCAAGGCACCTGCTACAGATTTATAAGCCATTACGTGCATTTTGTCGAAGCTATATCTGACGACGAAAAAATTATGACCGACTTATTTGTAACGGGTGGAAAACTTTGCACAACCCACTCATGCAAATTGCACTAAGTGACACCTGTTTAGCGATGTCCCAAAACTCAATACGACTATGAGCAACGCTGTAGTGGAGGACTCCAGAAAATTACGACCACCTGGAGTTCTTTAGCGTGTGCTAAATAAGTACACAGTTTTTTTTTAGCGTGTGCTAAATAAGTACACAGGCCTCAAGCATTTCCACTTCTATTCAAAATGCGGCCGCTGCTTCCAGATTCTATCCCGCAACCATGTGGCACCAGGTTGTTATTTCACTTATATACAATGCTACATAACGCCCACCTCAGTGGAACAGGAGCCGCGGTACTCGGCTGCTGACCCACAGGTCATGGGTTCAATCCTGGCTGAGGCGGTCATATTTCGACTGAGACGAAATGGTAGAAGCCGGTGTAATGTTCAATGTCAGTGCACGTTAAAATACCGGATGGTGAAAATTTCCAGGGCTCTCCACTACAGTGTCTCTCATAATCAAATTGTGGTTTTTTAAACATAAAAGCCAAAATATTTTATCATTGATGCAACATTACATTGAACGTAATTTCTCTTTTTCCAAGTAAGTCTCAAGCTACGGGAACAGGAACAATGGCACTTTGTGTATGTTGTCTGGCAGAAATAACTTGACACCAAAAATTAAACATCAAGCCAAAAAACCAGAACTGTGCTATAGCACCGTTGCGACCTCTGCACCAAAAGCAAGATGCAAAGGGTAATGAAGGTGCATGCAAATGCAGTCACAACATGTTAGAACAGATTCAACAATTTCAAGAGGTTGAAAGCATACAGAAAAATTGCCATGCTAAAGTAAAAATAGA